CTCCGGGTGCCCCGCCCCCCAACCTGCGCACACCTACGGGAAGTTACCTAAAGTTGCTGCTCCTCCCCTCCCCCTCCGCCCGCGGGGGACCTCTATCAGGATATCAGGAAGTAAATGGGGAGCGCTAAGTAGGAGGAAGTCCTCCCGGCCGGCGCGATGACCTTTGACCCAGAGAGGAGAGTGGCCCAAAGCCCCTTCGAGCGCCCCCACGTGGTCTTCAAAGCCCCTTCCCGAAAGGGAAGCCTCCCCATCTCCCACCCCGGCCCGCCCCTGGGACTTCGGTATGCTCCAGGTGCCTGGCTGAACCCTGCCCTAAGACTGGATCCGAGGCCCACGCCCGACCCTGGCCAGAGCCAGCAACCCGAGCGGGAGCCGGCCCCTGACTCAGGCGAGCGCACTAAGACCTGGATGCCGGATCCCGCCCGGACCCTGACCGGGTCTGGCTCTCGACCGGGTCTTGACCGTGACCCGAGTCGGGCAGGAGCCGAAGCACGCCCGCCTCTCTGCCGCGCTCGCACATGGCTCCCGCGCCCCGCCCGCCACCCCACCCCAGCGGCGCTCCCCTCCGCCCCCGGACCTGGGGCTCCGGCAGGGCGGCCGGGCAGGCATGGGGACCGGGCAGCCCGGAGCGCCGGGGTGAGCCGGGAACCACTGGCGGCCCCTCGTCTGCCGCCTCCTCGGGCTGCACCGCCCCGCCGCGCCGCGTCCCCTTACTCGGCGGCGCCGCCGGCGGCTTGTAGGACACAAAAGGACATCGCGGCCGCTTCCTACTCTGCTTCCTCCAGCTGACAGCGGGGGTGGGGCCGGCCGTGCGCATGCAAAGTAGGGGGCGGGAAATGGCTCTCTATGCTAATCAGACTAGTGGGGCGGGCAGCGCCTGCGTGCGCGAAGGAATCAAAGGAATCGGGCGGGGTGGAAGAGACCAGTGGGCGGAGTGGAAGGAGCCAGTGGGCCGGATTTCAAGAAGGTCCCGCCTCTCACCCCTCGAACCACAGAGGCGTATTTGCTTACACGGCCTCAGGGGGGGCGTGGCCAGGGGAGACGCGGAGAGGCTCTGGGGAGGGGGTGGGTCCAGGAACGCTCTTTCGTAACAGAGGAGGAGCAGCGCGCAGTGCGCGAGAGGAGTGGGCGAGGTCGCCCAGTGGCCGCAGCTGCGGGATTGGGAGACGACATGCTTATGTAAATGAAGGGCGGGATGAGCGGAGGCGAATAGGTCTGCATATGCATGAGGGGCGGAGCCCAGCATGCCCAAGCTAGGGAGAGGGGTTGCCGTTTTTCCTTTCCCTCCCCCTTCGCTCAAGATAACACCATCCCGGCGCTTGGACAGCAGACCCAATATCCCCACGACGCTGTTGAACTCGGGGACGGAGAAGACCTAAAACATGCCAGAAGTCCTGGATTTCGAGTCCCGGGAAGGCGGAGCCGATAGGGCCCGAACGGAGAACGCTCAAGGTCACTGCGGTGACCGAGTGAAGGTCACGGGGAAAGGCGGGGCCGCGTGCGTCCGCCTCACGCGGGCAGCCACGTACTGACTCACGGGCCGTTCACAAGCTCTTTTATTTCTCTAGGGCCCAAATTCCACGTGGACAGGGTCGGTTTTGGGTTTGGGGATGGGACAGGGACGGGGCTTGGAGTCGGGCTGTCACTCGAGCCCGAGCGGTGCACTTAGTGCACCGAGACGTGCAGCCTCTTGCTACGGCGCCTCTTGAGCCTCTCGATGTATTGCTGCAACTCCTTGGTCAGGAAGTGGTCCCTTCCGATGCTTGACCTGTAGCCTGGAGGGCAGAGCTCCGCTCAGGGCAGCAAGCAGGAGCATAGCCTCCCCAGCAGCGGGTGCTGCATGTGTAATTCGAGGAATCGCGTGTGATTTGGGGTGGCAGGAGTACTTGGGGTTTGGGTCTGTGTTAGTTTGGGGAACTTAGATCTCCAAGGTGCTGGCCCCTGCCAGGTTTGTTTGTTTCACATGGTCAAGTCATAGACCTGTGCTCCAAACAGATGGAGGTGTGTTCAGATTTAGGAAGGATGAGGGGTGAATTGCAGGAGAGATATTGCAGGCCTGAATTAGGGTAGTGGTAGCAGGCAGCTTGAGGAGACCTCCTGGAGCACATACTCTTAAGCGAAAAGCCAGCCCACTCTTGTCCCTTCATATCATTAGCAGGGCCAAAGGAAGATAAGTTTACCCAAATAATCCACCGTCCAAGGCTTTTCACAGCACCCAGGGAGAATGGGCCAAGGCCACACAAAGGCTGTCATCTCTACTTGAGCATGTGGAGAAACAGCCTTAGAAAAGCCACATTACTTAAGGCTGGAGGTCCAGGCCCTGACAGTCACTGCATGCTCTCCCCACTGGGTCTCACTGTGCTCATTCCTCCAATTTTTTACTTCTGTGGGGATCCTAGAATATCCGTGGATGGTAAGGGAATCTGACAAGTCACCCAGATCCTGAAACCCCACTCCCACGGACCCAAGCTCTGCAAAATCTCCCAGGGTCACTTGTGGGAACTTGGGATAGGGCTCACTCCTGAGGGCTTTGGTGAGGATTTCTAGAGCTTCATTCTCCATGAGTTCCATCAGGGGCAGTGGCAGCTAAAGAGGCAGCAAGAGGTTTAGATGTCAAAGGGACCCCAGCTCTCCCCACAGCCAAAATGCCTCACCTGCTCATTCCAGCCTGGAGAGTCAAGGCCCCCTGCCAACCGGCCTGACCCTCCACCGTACAGACCACCCCCACCTCTTCACCCCAGCAGTCCCCAACTTGCCCATCTACCACCCCACCAAAATCCCCAGTCTCCCTGTGTGCCTCCAACCCTGTTAATGCTGCTCCTCCCAGTAGGCTTGATGGGTTGTGTGCTTCCAGATACGGAGTTCTGAGAGGAGAGAAAAGAGTTATCAGTCATCTGCAGACTGCCTGGTCTTTCCTGGAGCAGAAGAGATGTATGGGTAGGCATGTGGTGGGATGTATGGGTAGGCATGTGGTGGGAGGAGTAGCCTTCTGCCATGTGCCACCTTAGTGGAGAAACAATATAGGACAGTGGTTTACTGTCCTAGGCTTTATTGTCCCACCCACACAAGTTCCAGTTCTGACTGCCCTACTGTGTAAGATTTAGGGCCAATGACTGAAAGTCTCTTCTGCCCCCAGAGTTCATCTGTAAAATGTGATAATAAGAATGGCTCCTTATGAAGGTTGTGATATTTAAGGTAATCATGCAAGAGAAACCCCATGCCAGGTACACAGCAAGGGCTCAATAACTGGCAGTTATTATATAGTTAATAGTTCTGATTCCCTGAAAACTAGGGGAGGTTGCAGAAGAGACAAGTCCCAGTGTCCAGGATGAAGTAGGTACTTAAAAATTGTAACCAAGACTGAATGAACTAAAGCAGGCACCTCCTGAACAAGCTCAAATCCAGAGACAAGGAATTAGCTCCCTCTTCTCAACTGTCTGGTGATTCCAATAAACCACAGGCCCTACCGCGCGGCCCTTAAAACAGTTTCGCGCTTCTCTCCCGGACCTGGTGTGCTACAGGATTTTGTACGAAGCCTCCCCGGTAGGGGGCGTTCCAGGAATGTCTGGTTAATTTTAAGTATGAAACGTTAGCCCAGACGCCCCTCCCAAGGAACCCTGGAAATTTGGATCCTAGAGTTTCCCAAATTACAGCAACAGAAATTGGGGTCCTGGCCAGCCCCCTGCCCTTTGGACTCCCACAGCCCAGTGAGGCCACACTGACCAGTGTCGGGATTGGAATCGTCCCCCTTTAAGTGGCTTCCCTGGGATCTGCCTCTGCGCTGCTCCAGCTCCAACAAGGAGCGGTCGTCCTGCTTTTCTTGCTTGAAGTGGGCCTTGTCTCGGGCAACTGATTTTTCCCAGGCGACGTCTGAGTGATGGCCGGCCTTCTGGTTGTACCACTGGCGAGTCTTGCGGCCCAAGCTGCTGCGCTCCACGTGGGAGTCCTCGCAGACATCGGACAGCGGCAAGTTAAGCTGCGACTGAGACAGCGAGGCCGTGGTCCACAGATTCCGGATGTCCTCCAGGCTCGATTTACCTGAGCCACTGGGGCCCAAAGCCTGTGGGGCCACATACAACGAGGGATGCCTAGAGTCGCGGAGAGTTGGGGAGGTGACAGGGATCCCGAGCCCTGCTAGGGCGGGGACTCTGGCGGCAGGATTTGTTGGAAGCTACCCGGAGCCCAGGCTGAGTAAGAGGAGAGGCGGGACCCAGGTTGGACCTAGGATGAGTAAGGGGGCTGAAAGGGTGAGGAGGTCCGGGAAGTGTTCTTACTTTGAAAGGCTTTTCCTCCATGGTTCTGCCCCAACGGACCCAGTCGCCACAGGCCTCGCGGCGGGGAGGAGGGAGTCATGCTCCCGGGGGGTGAGGGGCGGGGTCCCCTTCTGGAATAGCTCAGCGGGTCTCGCGCTGGGAGAGTTCAAGCTACAGCCCACCACACTAGATGCCATTATCTCTCCCCTATTACCTCGGCCACCCCCCTCCCCCACCAATAGCCGTGCTGAGGCTGGAGACCTGCACAGCGCATCTTGGCAGATTCCTGTGCCGGATCCTCTCCCGTAGCCTCCAGGCAGAGTGATACAGGCCCGAACACAACCCAGCCTGTGCCTTAACTGACGTGGGTGCCCGGGGCGCGGCGGGGGGGACTCGACCTAGGGGTCATGGGAGGCCTGATTTGCCCGCGAGGAGACCCAGCGCGAGCATTCCCACCCCCACGCGCGGCCCCGGAGCGCGCACGCCCGCAGCGGTGCAGACTGCTCTGGTTTATTGACGCAGGCTCTGGGCACAGTCGTGAGGTGTTGTGAGGGGCAGGCCCAGCCGGGACAGCGAGACCGAATGCCTTGGGAGTCTGGAAATGGATGAAGTGGGGAGAGGGTTGGGAGCGGGTGTGTGGCCGACCAGCAACCTGTAGCCTCCTTCCCAGGCTTCGGTCCGGTCGAGGGAGGGGCTCTTTGGTCAAACAAGTGGAGCATGCCGGAGGGAGAGCGAGAACGAAGCTCCCTGAGAGGCTCGGCCCCGAGTCCTGCACCTACACAGGCATGCCTTTCTCCCGGGGACGCCCGAGGCCCCGGGGACGCGCGGGCTTCCTGGGGGGATTGGGGGGACGGCGGCGACCCCGTGGCGCACGGGGTAACGCGCAGCCGCGCTCGCTCTGCGTGTCCGAGGACTCGTCGATGAAGGCCAGGTTCTCGCTGGGGTAATCCAGCGCGGAGGCCGTGGGTGGGGTGGGCGGGGAGGGCAGCTCGGCCTTCTCCGGGGCCGCAGGGGATAGGGGCCTGCCGGCAGGCTGGGGTACACACGGCGGTGGAGGCAGGAGTGGCCGCTCCTTCTCCGGCGGCGGCGGTGCGGTGGGCCCGGCCCGCTGGGTCACCCGCGCGGTCACCGTGCCGGTCCAGCTGGCGGCCTGCGCCGTGAAGCCGCCCATCTGCGCGGGGAGGAAAAGCAGTCCTCGACCGCGGGTCCTGGACCGCCTTCGCAACTCCCCCTGAGCCTGCCCTGCCCCTTCGCCGGTCATTACGCACTTTTCCGCCTGGTTCTTCTGCCTCAGCCCGCCGGAGGGGGTAAATGTTCATCACCCAGCCACAAGCTCTCCCCTACTTCAATTTACCCCCAAGCGCCCTCTCATCCAAGAGCTTTTCTAGAAAGCCTGTTTTATTTCAACTCTCCCTTCTGTGCTTCCGGGGGATATTTGCGCTTCCATCCGGCTCGTTGGCTGCGCGAGACGCATAGGGTGACAAAATACAGGTCGTCTAGATAAATGTGAATTTCAGATAAACAACGAATAAAAGTTTAGTATAAGTATACCCCGTGCAGTATTTGGGACATACTCATGCTAAGATATTATTTGCTATTCACCTGAAAATTCACATGTAAATGGTCTTCCTGCATTTTTATTTGCTAAATCTGGCAACCCTATCATGGCAGCAGAGATAGAGTCACCTGCAAACCTGTCCAAGTTTATCCCTTTGTCCTTGGCCTGGTGCATACTGGGGCTTAGTCCCTGCCTTAAGGAGCCCACGCTCTGGAAGGGAGGCAGGCCAACCAGCTGCTACTGTACAGCACCTCAGCTCTAGGCACAGCGCGACCCAGAGACGCCTACCTCTGCCCGAGTGCGGCGGGACACTACTCGCAGCCAGTTCCCGATGGTGGTGAGCACTGAGGCGAAGTAGGCTAGACCAAGCAGGATCCAGAACCACACCAATGGCTGGTAGGCTGCAGAGTTCTGGTTGGGGCTGGCACCTGGGATACCACCGGGGACGGCAGAAAGAAATTGGTTGTGGTGTAAGCGTTGAGCCTCTGAGCTGCTGGTTCACTGCCCCTCTTCCTAGTTCATGGAGAGGACCCGTCCTCCCCAAGGCAATGGATATGTACTGAGTGTACGAATGCATTGTAGGAAGATGAGAGTACATCACTTGAAGGTGTGCAAGAGCATGCAAGTGGGGGCGCTCATGTGCAAGAATGTCAGCACATGTAAGAGATGCACATGTACAAGAATGTGACACATGAGGGGTGCACTTAGTATATGTGTGCATGCATGGAGGTGCAGGCATGCAAGAATGTGTGTACGAGGTGTTACATCCGTGCAAAAATGTGAGCAGGTGTAGGGGTTGGAGAAAGGAGGTGTGAGCGCACAAAGGCCACAAGGAATTGAGGGAAAAGCAAGAGTGCAGAGCCCCCGGGAAGAAATAAAGTAGGTAAGGAAGTGCAGTGCTAGAAAGGTGGCCTCACCGGCCACATAGTCCCCGAAGCCCACCGTGGTGAGAGTCACTACGACGAAGTAGATGGCTTCCAGCTTGCTCCAGCCCTCCACATAGCAGAACACGAACGTGGGTGTGAGGACAAAGAGCAGGCAGCCGATCACCAGGAAAAGCACCGCCGATAGCACTCGCACCAGCTCCGGTGGCACGTGCCACTTCTACAGGGAGGGGCAGTGGGCAGGACAGAGGAGTCCACCAAAGCCATCACTCACACCCCACACCCCCTTCTCCGGGGGCCTGTGAGCCAGGCTTATGCGATCTAGGAGCCATGCTTAGGAGCCAGGCAGGGACTGTAGGGAAGGGTAACCCGAGCCCAGAGCAAGAGTGCACAGGGCACAGAGCAGCTCACCAGGAAGATGGCTTCAATGTGACCGATGCCGTGACGCAGGGAGGAGCCCAGCCGGTCCCCGACCCCGGCCAGCAGGATCCCAAACAGTGGGATCCCCACCAGTGCATAGAAGATGCAGAAGAGGCGCCCAGCATCTGTGCGCAGGGCCACGTTGCCATACCCTGAGCAGAGGAGCCGTGCAAAAGGTCTAGGGGCTGCCTGGCATCCCTCTCCCTCTCCCTGTGCCTTCCCCCATGAGAAAGCCCAGCCACCCCTGGCCCCTCCACCAGCCCAGTCCCCTCCCCCACCGATGGTGGTGATGATGGTGCCTGAGAAAAAGAAGGCGCTGCCCAGGTCCCAGGCTGAGTGGTTGCTGTTACTGGTAGAGTTGGTGTCAGGGTTCGCACCCCCTCCCAGGGCATCAGCCACCTCCTGTAGGACAAGGTGCAGAAGGGGGAACCTCAGTCCTTCCTGTCATGGCAACCCCCTGGCCCTCCCATCTCCAGGGTTGTTCCCCACCCCATCCCTCCCAGCCCTCCCTTTCCCTCTAGTTTCCCTGCAGGCAGTCTCTTAAAGGAGACATTTCAAATGGAGTGGCCCAATTTTGCTTGACCTCTGCATCATTTTAGAAACACTGAGTTCTCTGCCCCTAATTCCACACAACAGATTTCCAATTTACAGTGGTCAGGAGCACAGACTCTGGGACCAGACTGCCTAGATTCAAATCTTGGTGCTATGTGACCTTGGGCAAGTTAATTCTCTGTGCCTCAGTTTCTGTATCAAGTGGAGCTGGAGATAATAGCAAATACCTCACAGAGTGGTTGCGAAGAGGTTAAGCACTCAATACAAAGTAACCACTGTGTGATTGTTAAGCTGATCCCCAGGCAGTGATCATGCCCAGTGATTTACAGCTTTCCCTAAACCCACCACTCCCACTGCCTGTGCTGAAGCTGAGTTTGAGTCCTTCACTTTAGATAATATGATGAATTAGATAGAATAGATTAGGGACTCTCCCTCCAGGAAGGTTCATATGCCAACAAATTTTGCATCCAATTTTAGGAAGTTCATGGACCCACAAACCCCTGCACACCCAACTGAAGTCCAAGCCAAATTCTGTGCTACATAGTGGGTGCTCATTAAATATGATTAAGTTAATGGAATGACCATGTGTCTGCTGCTATTGCCAGCCTGCAGGTCCCTGCAAGTCAGTATCTGTGTTTTGAGAGGACCTGCCCTAAGTGACAGCAGTCACAGCATAATGAGGAGGGCATGCAAAGGGGTCCTTCCCCAAGGAGCCCAGAGCCAAGGCACTAAGGCAGTAGATATGGTGGCGATCATAACCACCTTCTTTCTCTCTGACTGCAGTCCTCATTAGCAAGACCGATTCCAAATCAATCTTCCTAAAGTGGCTGCCCAAAATCCTCCAGAGCTCCTTGCTGTCTGCAGAACTGAGTCCGAACTCCCCAGCCCAGCATTTAAGCCCCTTTGAATCTAATCCCAACCTCCCTCTCCCCAGTCTTTTCTCCTGGGACTCTTATTTGGGAACCCAAGTTGCAGTGACCTTATCCCCGGATTTTGAGATGATCCCATTTCCTGTAATAATAACTTTTAAATAAAGCCAAAAGTGAAATAAATGTATGATTAAAAATTATTTAATTTTTATTTTGCAATACTTTTCCAATAAAAACACTACTTTAGGGGAAAAGGCCTTTGTCATCCTGTGTGTTCTAATTTTTGCTTCAAATGACTAGGCATCTGCTAAATCCCAGTTCTGCAAGACACTTAGAGCATTCCAACTTCCACGCCTTTGCCCATGCTGTTCCTCTCTGCATGCGAGTCTCCGGCAACCCAATCACACATCTCTAAATTCTGTCCATCTCACCTGCCTCATTTCAATTACCAGCTCTTCCCCAAGGGCCCCAGATCTCCCTCCTTGCCCCCAGCACCAAGGCCCAGCACACAACAGGCATTCAACAAAGAAGGAAGTGAAGAAAACTCCCTTTCCACTAACACCTGTCCAGGGATTTGTCTTCCTCACCTAGATGGGCCATCCTCTAGGGCAGAGCCTGCACCTGTTCCTCCCCAATATCAATTTCCCTGCTAACCCTGTGGTGTATAGCACAGCACCCAACACCCAGTAGGTACATAATTGCTGTGTGACTAATTGTGGAAGAGAAATAAAGCAGCTGTCACCAACCTCTTTCCTTTTTCTTCTTTTTTATCCAAGAAAAAAGCAATTCCATTGTGAAGATAAAATAGGTCAGATAGACTCCCTCCCTTCCCCACTCCACCCTGTGGTCTGGCGAGACACACTCTCCTGCCCAGGCCTCTCTGAGCCTTGCTCAGCATTCTGGAAGTGTCAGAGATAATGTCAAGATGCCTGTGTCCTGGCCCCACCCAACCTTCATCTCTGCTCTGGGTCCTGCCACCTTGGGAATCAGCTGGAACACTGAGGCCTCCATGTGGATGGCTCCTCCCCCAAAGAACAGGCAAGGAAAGAGGGGTATCTTCAATAAAGAAATAAATGTTAATTTATTAAAGTTAAATGTTAGGGTTTTTAATAATAGTGACCCAGGAATCAGAATTAGCAACAGAGGTGCTTGCCTGACAGTGCCCCAGAAGGCTGAAGCCCAAGACTTTCTTTAGTCACTAGACCAAAGCTGACACCCTCCTCCACATCATAAGCTGGCATCCTGGGGGGAGAGATGCTTAACCTAGCACCCATGGTGACATAGACAGGCTTAGAGTATCCTGGAACCCTCCCCAGTCATATGTACATGTTTACATGTGGCCTTTTGCAGGGAGTAAGGACATGTTCACAGTGTTTGGGGGCTTTTCTAAGGCATCTGTGACTCCAAAGCCATACAGGAACCAGTGTATGGTTGCCAGATTTAGCAAATAAAAATATTGCATGGGACATATTTATATTTAATATGATTCATTGTTTAGCTGAAATACACATTTAGCTGGGCACCCTGTATTTTATCTGGCAACCCTAAACCAGTGAGTTAGTCCTATGAAAATGTAACATATTTCATGTGCTACAGCCATTTATTTATTTATTTATTTCATTCCTTCATTCAACCACCGTCACACACTGAAGGAGTCATTCCTGGAGCAAGTCCAATGCCAGGCACAGCAAGAAAAACAACGCCCCAAGAGGGCCACCAGACTGAACACGCAGAAGCCTGGATCCCAGCTGCACCCTGCCTCGGGGGTGCTGATCTGGAAGCAGCACCCCTGCACAGGGTCCCACTGGCATGCAGCTAGTGCCACAGACGTCATGGGTCACTGCTGAAGGGGCTCTTGCCCACCCACGCACCTTGATGAAGAGCCCCAGGTCCTGGTCGCTCACACATGGATGCGCCCTCAGGAACTTCTCTCGGACCTCCCCCAGCTCCCTCTGGGCCTGTTGCTCGTGGGGCTGCTCTAGGGCCTGGAACACCAGGGCGCCCAACACCAGGTAGAGCAGGACCAGTGCCAGCAGTGCTAGTAGTGTGGTGCTGCGCATGGTGCGCCCAGAGGCCCGGCCGATTCCACTGCCCGCCTGGGGAGGCCGGGCAGGGGACTCCTGGGGAGCTGCGGTCACTGCGGGCAGAACCGGGGAGGCCGGGATCATTAACATGGGCTGGCACCTCTACATCCTTCTCCAACCCCTATGCACCCAAGGTCCTTGGAGCCCCCAGCCCTACTGCCCACACATATCCTCTCCTCAATCCCTCTGGCGGGACCCTCGGTACCAGGACACACCCAGTCGCCCCCCCACCTCCTCCTCCCCCTTACCTCCACTGCCCGGCCCTCAGCCCCTGTCCGGGGACTCCGAGGTATGAGAAGATAAGAGGGTACCCGGAAGGGAAAGGGAAGTGGTAGGGGAAGAGACTGAGCCTGCCGAGGGCGAGCCGGGCCAGGGATGAACCGCCGGGGACCTGGAAGGGGCGTTGGGAACCCGCCTCCGAGGAGGAGGTTGAGGCGCGCGGAGGCGCGCGAAGGGAAAGCACGAGACGGGACAGCGCAGGGCGGGGTGTGGAGAGCGGTCCCGGCTGGTGCGCAGCGACTGCAGCAGCATCTTCGCGCTTCTTCCCCTCCCGCCTCTCTCTGCACCGCCGCTAGTCGCGACGGGCAGGGGGAGCCTCCGGGGACCCCCAGTGCCCCGCCGGGCTTTCGAGGAACCCAGGGGCGGGTCCAGGTCGCCGCGCAGAGGAGAGGCAAGGCATGCGGGAGGGAGGGTGGCGGGGTTCCGGGAAGAAGCGGGGCGGTGGCGACAAGGGCCATACCAGCTCAGCATCCACCCGGGGCAGCTGTCAGCTCCCGGGACAGCGGGCGGCCGCGCCCACGCTCACACCCGCTGCACAAAGACCTGCGGGCCCACGCTCCATCCTGCGGCTCCAGTCCGCACCGCTGCCCAGGATGCGCGCACACATTCCACCTGCACTTCCGGACTCACGGGCACACCGGGACCCCCAGCGCCGTGCGCGCCGGACCAAGGCACCCCAGAGGTCCACGCACACGTGTGCATGCAGTCGCGTGCACACATCCAGACCGCTGGGCGACCACGCAGCGCCCGCCGCCGGACACACTGCACACCCGCCGCTCGCTCCCACCGCCTCCCCGCGTCTTCACGCCGACGCCTGGGGGCGTCTGGGCGGCGGGACACGCGGCCGCATGACTCCTGGAGGCGCCCATGCCTGGAAGGTGGGCGCCCGTCCGGCCGGTCTCCCCCTTCGCGCCCATGCCCAGGAGTCCTGCCCGCACTTCCTTCCCGCACCCACCCGCTGGCCCTCTGCGCTCCGCACTCACTGTTGGCCTCGCTGCGGCGGCGGCGGCGGCCTCGGCCCGGACTCCTATGCGGCCTCCCCGGTGCCGGCTGGGCCGCGGAGGCGGCGGCGGTGGAGGCGGCGGCGGCAGGGGAGGAGCGGGCGGCCGCCGGGGCTGGGACGCCCCCTCCCGCCACCAGAAGACCCCCTCCTTCAGCGTTTAACCCCTCCGGCGCCGCGCCTCCCTCCGTGCCGCGCCCTAGCCGCCGGCACCGCCCCCGCCCATCCCACTCCAGCAGCCCCTCACCTGCGGCGGCCCAGACCCCCAGTTCCGGCTGGTGCTGAATGGTGGGTGGCAGGGGACCCCGAGAGGGGGCGCCGCAGAGTCCGGCCTGGAATCTCAAACTGGAGTCCTAGTACAGTCCCTCCGGCCAGCCAGTGTGGCCAGCGGCTCGACCCCGGCCGGCCTGGACATCAGTCGGATCACCTCTCCGGAAAGGCGCCGCAATAATCTCCCAGCATCTCCCAGGCCTACTGTCGGCTGGGAAGGGCCTTCAGCTCCCCGCCCCTAGGGACAGCCTGGCCTGGCCCTTGGTCTCAGCACTCATGGAAGGGACCCTGAGAGACAAAGTGGTGGGGAATTCACTGAGGCAGCCTGGAATTGGTCCAAATGGGGTTGGGACCCGGCTCTGGAAAGTAGTGCTGAGGCATCTCCTGCCCCTAGTCTGGTATCCCCATCTCTTGGCCCTCACTTCAGTGCTCATGGAACTGGCACCAGCACTAGCCCTCTCACCCCCACCCCGCCTGCACCGCCAGGTCCTGGCACTCTGCCCCCCTCTGCTTTTACCCTGATCTCTCCAAAGACCCTCCTCTTGCCTGGGGTCCGCAGCCCTCGTGGTAGGTTTTGCCTTTGGCTCAAACGCTGACCACCCCTACCAGTAGGGGGCCTAGATAGGTCACCAAACTCAGGTGCCTCCAGTCCCCACTTACTGAAAAAACCGTTATCATCACCTGGGGTGTCATCCTGAGCATTAAAAGAGGTCAGTATTTTTAAGTGATCAAAACAGTGCCTGGCATGGAATAAAGTGCCCTACCAACGTTAGCAATTTTCCTTTCAACAAGAAGTGCCCAGCTTTGAGCTGATTTTCTAAGTCTCAGATGCCCTCTCTGAATACCCTGAAGGCCTGGTGCCCAGGGGACTCCCAAGCAAAGGGTTTTGAGAGAGGCTTAGTCTAGGTCCCTGGAACTCCAATAAACTGCGACAGCTAGGTACACGGGTAGAAGGCAGAGCCTCTGATAAACGACCCCCAGCCATGGGACAGAAGACAGATATGCCAGGGCTGTGGCAGCAGAGGGCAGTGACTGTGCTATTAGGGGCAGCCACAGAAGGAGGTCCCAGGACCACCAGGCAGACTGTGTGATAGCAGCCCACCCACCGGGTAAAAGCTACACCAAGTAGGGAGGTGGGGGCTGCTCAGTCACCAGCCAACTCCTCCTCCACAGGCCCTGGACTAACCCCTGACCCCAGAGGCCAGGTTGGGCAGGATGATGTGTAAACAGGATCTCCAGAAATCCTGATCCACCATGGATAAGAAGTGTAAAAGCCACATAATCACAGTGCCATGTGACCCAAGAGAAGGGATGTGATTCCCTGACCTGGAGATGGAAACCTCATAAAGGAGGTGACATTTGAAGCAGATGTTGAGGAAAGAGGATAAATTGTTCAAGCAGGGAGGGGACTGGAGTGGCAGCAGGATCTTCTACTCCCTCTTCCTGCCCACCAGCCTGGGGCGGAGTGGCCCCTGCCCAGCCGAGCCCCCAGTGTCTGAATAGCCTTTGGCCAAACAGGAAACAGTGCGAGAAACACGAAGTAGATGACTGGCAGACAGCAATCGGACATGGGCACGGACACTGTTTATTGAGGAGCAGGTGCAGGAGAGGTAGCGGCTCCGGTGGAGACGGCAGCTTATACCATGGTGCTGTGGGCATCTGGCAGCCAGGGCCATGGCCTCCATCCTAGGGGATGGCACAAGCTCGCTACAAGGAGTACCAAGGAGCTGGCGAGGGGATGAGGTGGCCACAGTCCCCTGGGATCCTGGGCAAGAAGCGGCAGATGAACTTGGCACAGAGGCCTGGGATGGGAGGACTAGGTCTGGGTGTTCTGGGGAGAACAGAAGGGGGTCACGTCTGTGGGGTGGAGTAGAGACTGTGGTGGTGGCCTCCTGGTCCCAGCACCTGGGAGAAGAGCAGAGGAGTGGTCCGCGTCTGGCTGCCCCCGCACCAGCCTGGCTCCCGCCCGATGGCGCCGTACCAGCTACCCGAGCCTAGGCTGCCTGACATGCTGCAGGCAGAGAAACAGGGTCAGTCCCAGGGAGGTGACCAGTGCCACATTCACAAGAATTGGGGAAGGGAAAGGCTCACAACAGACCCAATGCCCCAGACCTCCAGGCCCAAGGGCTTGAGACCTTCAGATTGTGGCAAACTGCATCTTGTAGTGACAGATAGAAAAGAAAGGGGACCTCACCTAGTATAGACATGAGACATAGGCCATGGCATGGGGGGAGGAGTAGGTGGCAAGATCTGGCTCTAGATCCCCATGGCTCGATGGAGCAAGCTGGAAGCCTAGGGGTGCTGAGGTGGGGTTGAGGCTCCTACCTGGTGCTCTCACTCCGGCTGTGCTCCCAGGAGCAGCCCTCATCTTCGCAGTGCCCAGTCCGGTCGAAGAAGTAGGAACGGGAGCCAAAGACCTGTCCATTGAGAATTCGGCTGGTGCTCTGGGGGAGGAAGTTGTTATGGATGCTTTCTCCTGCCCATTGTTGGCCTCCCACAGTCTTCTCCCTGCCAGACCCCAGCCCAGGGATTCCCAGTGTCTACTGGCCCTCACCAGGTCCTGTGTGGGCCGGTGCACCCGGAAGAAGCCCACCAGCAGGGTAGTGGGCAGCAGCTCCCACACAAAGAGGATGAGGCCAAACACCAAGTAGCCTTTGTTCCCCAGGTCATTCACCAGGTCCGCCTGTGGGAGGGCAGGAGTTTGTGCCAATCCACAGTCGCACCAGTGCAGCACCCCAACAGGGCCCAGGCCAGTTAGGGACCAAAAGCCACAGCTACTAAGGAGACAGCTGAGATGCCAAATGCCTACCTGGTCAGAGACATTGTACCAATCATAATCGAAGGTGTCCAGTCGGCTCCGGGGGGCCAAGGCCAGGGCTGCCAGGTTGTAGCAGGCCCGGCTGGCATAGAGCAGGACCATGGCACCACCCATCGCGGCCGCCTGACACACACTGGTCCCCTGGTAGACAACAGGGAACTCTTAGGGAAGAAAGGCTCCAGCTTCTTCTCTACCGTGAAGACCACTGCCCAAAGACCCCAGAGGACACCCAGGCATCAGGGCTTGTGGCCCTACCTTGGCCTCCAGGTAGATGCTGGTAGAGGGGGCCCGCCGGGCAACAAGGCAGAGGCAGGCGGCAAGAGAAAGTGCGCAGATAACAAAGAGGGAGTCGCTCACCAGGACTCGCACCAGCAGGAGGGCCCAGGGCTGTGCACGGCGCCGGCGGGACAGCACAGCACACAGCACATTCACCAGCAGAAAGAGCAGTGAGGCCCCCACGAAGGCCCCTCGGACAGCCAGCCTGCAGCCCACAGCAGAGTCAGCCCCAGACAACCACCCCTGGGACTCACCAACTACCCAACCTGCTCCAGGAGACCCCAGTGTCATTCAGAACCAATCCAGACCAATCCAGTGAGAACATTGCCCCTCCAGTCTTACAGATAGGGAAACAAGGGCCCAAAGAGGTTAGATGGTGACTGACAGCTATGGCAAAGTCGAAAGAGCACCACATTGGGAATCAAAAAGTTGGATTTAAGCCCTAGCTCTGCCTTCTGCCAGGCCTATGACCTTGAACATGTTGCTTTACCATGCTGGGTCTCAGTTCTTCATCTCTCAAATGGGGATAATAACAACCACACAGGTAAGAGTAAAAATTAAATGTTTGTGAAAGCTCTTAATAAACTGTAAGACATTATACAAGTGACAGGCCTATCACCACCCAAGGTCACCCAGAAGGGGTTTGGCTTTGGAGCTTCCAAGGGCTGCAGCCTCCCACTCTCCTGGCATCATGGATGACATGGGTACCCTTTCCCCTCATGCCATCATGACTGTTCCTGTTGTTGTTGCCCTGCACGTGTGTAACTCCTCTGCTGAGCCATTGGCACCAAGTGCCCAATGTTTCCAAGCTCTTGCACAAATACTCCCTGGGTTGTTCTCATCTCAGCCTTGCAAGGGGAGAAGGAATGGACACCAGGCTGCTCCCTGCCCTTGGCCTGGGGGCTGAGCCCACCAGTGTCCTGAGTACTTACAAGCCTCGGCTCATCTCTGGCCGATGCTTCACCTTTGCCTTGAACACCACCTGGGGGCAGAGATGCCCATCATCCCTTTGGGCCCTTGGGGCTTGCCACCCCACAGCCCACCCCCACCCGTTACCATGGTTACCTGGGCAAAGTAGAGGTTCATAAGTGTCAGTGTGAAGAACTGCAGGCAAACAGGGAAGCAGTAGAGAAGCCAAAAAGGCAGGGGCCCCAGACGGTTGGCTCGGGGGGTATCTCGGAAGTAGAAGGAGAAGAGGGTGGTACGCAAGGCAGCCCAGAGCAGACAGAGTGCCAGAAACACTGTCTGATAGCTGAGACGCTTGTGCCCATACAGGAGCACCAGCCAGAGCTGGGCATAGACGGAAAAGAAGAGTAGGGCATACAGAGTGGTGTAGGCCGCAGTCAGCCCCAGGGTCACAGCAGGCGGCAGCGCAGGCACCAGCCCAGCAGCAGGCACCAGGCCAGACAGGTTACTCTCCATGCCAGGGAAGAGGCCTGAATCCTGGAGACAGAGATGGAGGGACTGGCAGGGAGCCAGGGAAATAAATACGGAGGGGTGGGAGTTGCAGGGTGCAGAGAGCTCAGGAGGAAAGGAGTTGCGGCTGGCCAGGCCCTTCCCCTCAACAGAGGGACTCCTGCCCTTGCAGCGGGGCACAGGCGGCCTGGGGCCAGGGCCCCTCACTCAGGGACATGGAAGGGCAGTCTCCTCTCCTGGACAGAGGGGAGAGGTGGGGAGTGTCTCCTTCCTGGGCCAGCCCCAGTGCTGGGGTGGGGGAAGACGAAGAGGCTGGAGAGCGGTCCTTGGCTTGGTTGCTCGAGCCGTTCCGGCAGGAGGGGGAGAGCCAGCCGATGCCCGTCGGCTCAGGGCAGCGGCCTCTGCCCGGGGCGCTCAACGCCCGGCTCTCCCCCTCCCCAAACAGGAAGTCTCTTTCCCCTCCAATAATCCAGATTGGGGGCGGCCTCTGCCTTCTGTCCTTGGGATTCCAGACGGAGTGGGTGGCCCCACCCCCAACCCCTCCACTGAGTCCACTCTCCAGCCGCGGCGGGCGGGCAGAGGCCGACGCCAGGTCCTCAGGCCGCAGCTGGGGGAGCCGACTCTGGCGGCTGAGACGCGGGGCTCTGGCTCCTAGGCTGCCGCTGCTCCGCCCCCTCCTTTCCCTGCGCCTGCGCAGGCGCCGCTCGCTACGCAAGTTGCGCAGGGTCTGACACCCCCCACCGCCCGCCGCCAACACACGACCCCGCCCCCGCTCCGTAGTTCCCGCGCTGCGCCTGGCGTGGAGCCGTTCGAGAATTGGCGCCAACTGCGAAGCCGGAGGGCTCCGGTGATTACCCGACGCGGCCGGTGGCTGAGAAGCTGCGGCGGCACCGCGGGACACACGGGTGGGCCATGTCCGGGGCCACAGACCCTTGCGTGTTTGGGAGGCAGCCAGTGCCCATGCTTCTCGTCCCCATCGCCAAATCGAGAATGTGCCGCCCGCACGGGGGTGGCAACAACTTTCCCTCCCTCGGTCGCCGAAGGAAACTTCCGCCCACAGCCAAGATGGCCTCGGAGCCCCGCCCCTTGGATCTTAACCCGCTGGGCCCCGCAGTCCCCGGGGGGCTCTCCCGCCCCGGACCCGGGCCGGCCGCGGTTCCCGCTCACCTGGCCGGCCACTGGGCAGGCGCGAAGCCCCCGCGAGTCCTACGGTCCCCCTCGCAGGGGCCCTTGTCCCTTCTGCGCCGCGGCAGTCATCCTGCCGGGGAGGAGGCTCCCTCGCTTATCTCGAGTGCTGCTCCCGAGATGGCGGGAGAGAGATGCCCCAGAGGCGGACGGCGCGAGGTTTCCACTGTGGGGAGGAGGGAGCAGGACTTCCCGATCCGGTCACCCCGCCCAGACGGAGCAGCGACCACAGCAACTGCACCCGACGGCTGAGCCTCAGTTACGGCTTTGCAAAGTGCTTTCACCCACAATGATCACTACTGGGTTTACAAAGTTCACTGGCTCCTGAGAGAGGTGTCATTGACCCCATTCTACAGGAGTGGAAACTAAGGCCCAGAGGGGCGGAAGACCTTGTCAGCACAAATTGGTCTTCAGCTTCCAAATGAGGACCCCAGAGAATCTCTCATCTGCTTCCACACACGCCACAGCAGGAGGAAGTCATGAGCCAAGAGGCGGGTGGCGAGGAAGGGACCTACCGGGAAGGCGGTGGGCGGGGAGCAGGTTGCGCGGCGGGGCGGGGCCTGGGTTGGGAGTAGCCCCGCCTCCTGACCAGCCCTAGTGACATTTCGAGAACTGATTGGGCGGGGTCCGTGACAGTTCCCGTTGCCTAGACTACTAGGGCCGGACTCCCTCAGTACTGGAGGGAGGCGGCAGTCCTGGGTCAGGGGCCTCGAGATCGGGCTTGGGGTGAGACTTGTGCCATCCCGGTGGGCGGGTCCGGCCGGGGCCTTGGTAGGGTCCTGGGGCTGCTCTACAGCACCAGGGCTCCAAGAGGAGATTTAAGTCCTGGGTGGACAGGCTGAGCTTTCTGCCGGGCCAGACTCAGCGGACAGATGGGGGCCAGGGAGGCAGGGTGGACCTGGAGCTCTAAGGTGGGAGAGGGAACCAGGGACGCCTACCCCCAACCCCAGCCGGCCGTCGTTTGGCCCAGCTATGCCCTAACTACCTACCATCTTGTCCCCACAGCCCAGAGCATGTTCCAGATCCCAGAGTTTGAGCAAAGTGAGCAGGAAGACTCCAACCCTGCAGACAGGGGCCTGGGCCCCAGCCCCACCAGGGACCGACCCCCTGGCCCCAGCAAGCACCGGTACGTAGCCCCAGGCCTCCTGGGGGAAGCTGGTCACCAGCAAGGGCAGCGGGCCAGCAGCAGCCATCATGGAGGTAGGCACCCCCACAACCACTTGCTTGTCCACCTTGCCTCCAGCCCAGTATCTCCCTGCACCCCAGCCACATCCACATTCACTGTGTAGCTTTGAGTGAATCCCTAACCTGTACATTTCAGTTTCCTCTTCAGTCAGAGCAATTAGTCACCTCCATTGTAGGGCTGTTGTGATGGTTAGCAGGGATATATCAGAAGCACTTTCATTATAGTGCTGCTGCACAATAAAAGCCCAAAGAACATACGTGGTGTAGGACAGCAAATCACGGAGAGGCAGGCAAGGAGCCAGAAAGAGGAAATGACTTGTCTAAGGTCACACTTGCTTGGCGTTGCCTTTGGTAAGAAGCTGGGCTGGAGGATTCTGAGTTGCCCTGCCCTAGGCTGTGCACTTGCCCTAGAACTGGACCTTCCAGCCCCCGGGTATGTCTTTCGCACCCTGTGCTTCATACTCACCCCGAGGCTATCCTTGCCAGTTGCCAGGGACCAGTGACACTCAAGAAGCTGACAGCCATCCCAGGCAGCGGGGCTGTTAACCGGGGGAGCACAGCCACCAGGAAGGCCAGCACTGAGATGGAAGGATGGGCACCGGACAGCAGTGGCCATTTCTCAGTAATCCCCACCTTTCCATAGGCCAGCATGGCCTTGCTGCCTGGAACAACCCCAGAGATCTTCTGAAAATAAAAACCATGCTCTAACCTGCTGAAGCCTAAATTATCCCCTCCCATTTTCAGGCCCGAGGTTTATTAAGGTTTCCTTCCCAACCCGCTCACACCCTTTGAGACTAAAAACTCCACAGACTTTCTTTAACTTTTTTAACTCCAGATCTTTGCATTTGCTCTTTTCCTGCTCCCTGTCGCTTTCCACCCCCAACGTGGCTGCTCCTCCCCACCCTCTGTATCAAGTGCTTAATGTGTGCCTCATGCTGTTCCAGCTGCCAAGGGTACCACAGTGAACTAAAGAGATCAAAGCACTTGCCCTTGTGGTGCCTATATTCCAGCGGGGTGGAGAGAGACAAGCCATAAACAAGCAAAGAAGTAAAGAATATAATGAGTTAGAAATGACACGTGCTGGGCAATGGTGTGAGAAATAGTCTTTACTTTCTCTTTGGAATCCAGAATACTGGAATACTGGGAGCTGGGGGAGTGCTTTTAATTGAGGTGGTCAGGGTCAGCCTTGGTAAGCAGTGACATTTGGGACAGATGGCTGGAAGTGATGATGCAGGAGCCTTACAAACATCCCTGGGAAGAAACCTCCTGGCCTAGGGAAAGGCAAATGCAAAGGCCCTGAGGGCAGGACTTGGTCCAAGCCAGGTAGGGGAGGGATGCTGGAGGCAGGGAGGAGATAATAGAGGGAAGTGGCAGCTGGGTAGGGCCTTGAAGGCCGGGTAAGGACATTGGCTTTCTCCTTGAGTGAAAACAAGGCAGAGTTTTGAACACAGGCAGGCAGGTGATTTGCTTCAGGCATCAAGAGCAGCACCGGAGCCTCTGTGTGGAGACTAGTCTGCGGTGGTCAGAAGTAGGGGCAGGGCGAGCGAGCGGGCTGTGGCAAGAGTGCCCGCAAGGAGGGTGGAGGCTTGTGCCACCGTGTTGGCAGTGGAAATGCTAAGCAGATGGACTCTGGACTTATTTTGAAGATAATCTTGGCAGGATTTGCTAATGAGCTCAATGTGGAGTGGGAGGGAAAGACAGGAGTCAGGATGGCTGCAAGGAATCTGGCATGGGCACCTCAAGTAGGAGGATGGAGTTACTCTCAAGTCTGATGGAATGGAGATGGATGGGGCAAGATCAGGAGCCCAGCTGGGGGCAAGTCAAGTTAGAGGTGACTTTTAGACATCCCGGTGGAACTTTCTTGTAGGGATAGATCCTGGCGGGATTTACACATGCGGGAGTCCTCAGTCATTAATATGTTAAGGCCCAGGGAGCCAGTGTGAGGGGAGAGGACCTGGGGTGAGCCAGGGACTGCACCCTTCTGAGGGCAGCAGAGGAGGGGCACCCAGCACTGTGGACCGGGAAGGAGCCCTTCCCCCTAAGGAGGGGAGTGCTGAGCTGCGGGCAGCGGCTGAGCGGGGAGCGCTGGAGTTGACAGGATGGGGCTATCACACTTTTGGTGGGCGGCTGACCTCCGTGGGGAGGGATATTGGGAAGAGAGTTGGAGACACGAGAGTCAGGTTGTACCCCTAGTTTGTGCAGGAGGTCCCTCTGGCCCCTCTCTCTGTCACCACTCCTGTCCTCACTCATTCACAGGACCCAAGTGCCCCTTCCCACCTCTCAGCCTCCTATCCTTGCCCTCCCTTCCCCACCCCCACCAACGCTCATTCTCACGGGCAGAACCTAGCTCTGCCTAACTCTTGTGCTCTGGTAAAGAGGAGCAGAGCTGGTAAAGGCGGGCAGCTGAAGGTGCAAGGAGAGTCACAGAAGGGTTGTTTTTATTTTTTTAAGATAAAAAGGGAAAACAAAATCACATGTTTAAAATCACATGGTGGAAATAATCCAGGAGGGAGGGAAAAGACAATGGTGCAGGAGAGGGGCACTTGCTGAAGTGTCCCTTGGTAGGAGAGAAGGGGTCTGGTGCCCATTGGAGGGACAGCTCAGCTAAGGGCAGGGCAGTGGACATGAGGGACAGAAAGGGGTAGTTACCCCACAGGAACTTTAGAAACTTCCCTTGTTGGTGCTTCAAATTTCTCAGGGAAAAGAAGCCAGGTCATGAGCCAGGACCGAGGGACAGAGGAGCAGGTGTGAAGTGGTCATCCAACCCAGGGCCCGGAGCAAGGGAGGTGTGCCAGGCAACATCAAAGGAGCCACTGAGGTTTGTGGCTGTGAATTTTAAATGAGGTGGCATGGCTGCACTTTTCTGCAAGCACACTGGCTGCTCAGGTGCCGCGGTAGGTGCTGGCAGGGGGTGGAGTCAACCACAGCTGCATTTGTCTCAGCCCAGTGAGGGGTGGGGGGCTTGAGGGTCTGTGAAGAGAGGGAGTGGTTGGTGTGGGGTGTAAGCTGGCCAAGCGGTAGGGGAGGCAGGCTCTGGGAGTCCCAGCATCATTAGAGCCAGGGCACCAGGTAGCAGGTGGTGGTGAGCCCATGGGAGGCTAGGGATGGAGTTGCTGATGGTGACAGGGCCTAGACTGCCTGTGGGAATGAGCAGGGTCGCCTAGGGGTGGGTCACCTGGGGCACAACCTGAGAAACTAGCTTTAGGGAGGGAAGGAGAGCAGTCCGAAGGAGCACTGATCGTGGAAGCCGAGGGGATGCCTGCCGCAGCTCCAGATGCAGCCTTGGGGAGGACTGCGGGGTGGGAAATAGCCATCATTTGAGATGACTGCATGGGATTTCTCAAACTTTTGACAGTTTCCAATGTCTAAAATCTAAGTGATTTTTCCATAAAAGATCAAGAGTGTGCATGATCTGCGAGAGCCACAGGGGCACTGCCCGCTCCAGGTGGGCATGGTCCCATCACTCATTGTATTCCCTGCCGCCTGACCCTGCTGGGCTGGACTGTATGTGTGTGCCCAGGGACTACGGCCACCACGTGTGATGTGGCAGCCCCAGCACGTCGCCCAGTCCCTGGGATAAGCAGGTGTGTGGTGAGCTGCGGATGTGTGGATGGTGAAGACTGAAGGAAGGACACCCAGAAGGAGAAGCCACCAGTTCTGGGCTCTGGGCCAGTTTGCAGGCCCAAATGTGACTCTACTCTCTATTAGAAGATTGAGCTTGAGCAGGTTACTTAACATACTCTGCCTCAGTTTTCTGACCTGTAAAATGGGAATAGAACTAGTCCCACCTTTTAGGGTTGTTGTGTGGATCTGATGAGTTAATACAGGAAAGGTGCTGAGAAACAGTCCCTGGCATGGAGGAGTCTGCTGTTCTATTGCTGCACTGTTGTTACTATTGTTTCTATGAGTCGGTCCAAGTCCTGAGCATTTAGAGGGGAAGAGAAATCAATAACGAGTGCCGCACCCCATCCCAGGAGCAGACAAGTGAAGGAGAGGTTAGAACCAGAACGTAGGGGCCTTGAAGGGCATGCCAAGGAGTTTGGACTTTATCTCATAGGCAGTGGGGAGCCATTGAAGGCTTTAGGCGGAGGACTGATGTGGTTAGGTTTAGAGCAGGGGTTGGCAAGCCACAGCCAGAGGCTAAATCCCTCTTTTTTTGTCAGCCTATGAGCTTAGAATTTTAAGGAGCTGACAAAAATCCGAAAGAACAATCTTTGGTAACATGTGAAAATTATACAGAATTCAAATTTCAATATCCCTAAATAAAATTTTAGTGGAATACAGCAACACACAGTTGATTATATATTGTAATGGTTTCTTTCAAGCTTTGACCACAAAGTTGAGTAGTGACAGAGACTCTATGGCCTGTGATGGTCAAAATATTTACTTTCTGGTCCTTTATGGAAAATATTTGCCAGCCCCTGCTTTAGGGTGTTTTCAGATTTTGTCAGCTCTGAACAAGATGGGAGGGGCCGCCCTCTGCAGTCCAATGAGGGGCTTTTGTATCACAAATGCCTTTCGTGTACACAGGGAGCCCAGCCTGAGGCCTGGGGTGCTGGAAGCTGACAGGCCTGTGCCTGTTCAGGGTGGGGTGCCATCCTGTTGCCCTGCTGCTCTGCTGCTGGTGTAGACAGTGTGTGAACACCTGCATGTGGTAGAGCAGGATACAAACCCAGCCCTGCCTGCTGGCAAAGCTTTGCTGCTCCGAATTATCTGGAACACCATTTTAATTCAATGTGCAACGATATTCACAGAACATGGGTGTGCCCAGCTCCACCCACTTACCCAGAAGCCCCAGAATTTTACAGAACTTAAAGCTTTGCAGGAGCTCGGGGCACCTCCAGCCACAGGCCCCTCCTGCCTGTCCACCCTATCCGCAGGCCCTCTCTGGGAGGACAGAGTGGGCAAGCCTGGACTTCAGCCCAGGCTCACACCCCGGCTGGAGCCATACCTTCTCTCTCCCCCTTACCTCCCCAGAGTGGGGAGAAGCCACCTCTACCCTGCTGTCGGGCATGTAGGGGTGAGAGCTGATTGAGGGTGGAATGCTTCAGTGTGGGTGTGTCTGCTATCCCTGGGGAGTCCACAGAAAATCCCTCAGGTTTTTTCCAGGAAGTAGAACACTTTCAAAGGCTCAGTTTACACAAATGATTGTCAAATCCTTGGCTTCGGTGAAAATCCTCCCCACTGCTGCCATAGGATAGGCCCCTGGTAAGGCAGGCATTCACAGGAGGCCCAGGGATGCCTACTCCAACCTGGGCCCCGAAGGCGGCCCATGGTGCTGCTGGAGGGAGCCTGGGGCATGAGAGTGAAGTACACAGACGGGGAGCCAGATCGGTTGGGTTTGGATCTCAGCTCTGCCACCGACTAGCTGTGTGACTTTGGGCATGTTACTTACCCTACCGGTGCCTTAGTTTTCTCGTGTAAAATGGGACAGTGAGGAAGCTCCCTCATAGTGTATGATGAGGGTGTAATGAATCATACACATGAAGCCCTTCCAGCCTGACACAGGAGTGCCCTTCTGCTTGTTCTGATTCTTGGGCAGGAGGCAGTACACAGACCAAGTGCCCCTGCGCAAGTCACTCACCTTCCAGCTCTTGGACCCCGCATCTGTTAAGTGCAGGGGTTGTGTGGGGTTCTTAGAGCTAGAAAAGGAAAATACTAGCTAACGTTTCCTGAGCACTTACGTGGCCAAGCAGAGTGTGTCAGCCGTGTGAGTTTTGATAAGTTCCTAACCCCTTGGTGCCTCCATTTCCTCATCTGTAAAATAGGGAGAACTTGGTGTATGCCCCACTGGGAAGTTGGAAGGCTTCAGGATGTGAAAGGGACAGAACAGGACACTCTCCTTGTTTCTCATGGTGGCCCTAAAAGATGGAGATTGCCCCCATTTCATATAGGAAGACATTAAAGCCCCAGATTTGAGAAAGGGCCCAAGGTCACAAAGCAGGGATATGGTTAATAGGGAGCCCACTTTCCTGCTGAGCCTGGCCTCACTGCCCACGTGCCACAGGACTGGAAAGTGCTCTGCAGAGAGCCTGTTCTTATGAGAAGGTGTTTCTATTTCTGGTCTAGCCCCTACCCCCAGTCTGATTCCTGATTTAGCTACCCGTTCCCCACTACTCCTAAAAGGCTTTATGATATCCCTACCTGACCTCAGGCCTGGGCTTTGGTAAAGCACAGAACAGCCAGCAATTCTGACTACCCTCTTAGCCTAGGCCTTTTTCCATCCAGCCTTTTCTCCTTCTTGGCTTTCTCTGCCATGTGTCTGGAGCTGGGACCCTTGAAGGCCCTCTAGTCCCTGGAGTTGATTGACAGGGCTTGGTAAAAGCCATTTGCGGGGAGGACAGGACAATGTTATCCCCTGGCTTCAAAACCTGGCCCAAACCTTACTTCATCCCAATGCCTTCCCTGACAGATGTGCCTTGCATGGATACTCGGCACACTTCCTTGCATCTGTTCCATGCCTGTCTTTCACTCTGTTACAGAGCTCTGGGGTTTTGCTCCTGGGAGTAGTTTTAGGTCTTTGTCGGTCTGGATATGGGGGTGAGGGACAGTACACAGAGCGCAGGAGAGAGGCCTCTTTGAATAATAAGCCATCATGTACCTTCATCTTACAAAGCACTTTCATACTATTTTATGTGCCCTTTACACAGTCATAGATAGTAAGGGCTAGATTTATCCCCATAATGAGGTGAGGGCACAGGCTCAGAGTTGAAGAGTGGTTGGACAGGGAAGAGGTGTAGCTCGATGAATAATCACTCAACTCTGGATTTCAACAAACTTTGAAGGACTTCCAGCCTCAAAACTCCACAGCTGTGTGACCCTGGGCAAGTCTTAGCCTCTCTAAGCCTCTCTGTCTTCTCATCTGTAAAATGCAGGCACTGTTAGTACTCACTTTTCAGGATGGTTAGGAGGGCAATGAGGTGATGCCCAAGGCCTGGCACATAGGAAGTGTTCCCCGTTGACTTAAAGAAGTCAACAGGTTGTTTCATTTTCTCCGAAGTGAGATGCTGCAGGAGGTACAGACATTCTGCTGACATATTCTTGTTCTCCAGAGGCCCAAGGCTCCCTATAGACCACAGGGAAACAAAGGGGCCCCAACAGGTTGCTTGCAGAGGTGGAGTTCAGTCTGGGCAGGACACCTCCTCATCCAGGGATTGGTACTCTGCTGGAGAAAGGAGGTGATGAAAGAGCTAAGCGCTCAGGGGGTGCTGGGAAGTCCCATGGTCCTGCACTGATAACTGTTAACTACTATTTCTTATGCCCTCATTTTGTGCCAGGCACAGAGGAAGTTCATTTTATACACGAAGGGCCTGACTCATTAATGGGGCTCGACTAAGACTTGTGGGATTAATGAGAAGTTAATTCGAATTACACAAAAGCCCTAAGCGCGTCCCTCAGTTTACATATGCGGGAACTAGGGCTCTTAGAGGTAGAGTGTGACGTGCACACAGACATTAGCGGACCGACGGGGCTGGGGGGCACAGAGGAGATGAAATTCACGTTGCTCCCACCTCCTGACCCTCTCCGCAGGCGCTGGGGCTGTGGAGACGCGGAGTCGCCACAGCTCGTACCCCGCAGGGACCGAGGAGAATGAAGAGGAGGAGGAGGAACCCAGTCCCTTCCGGGGCCGCTCGCGCTCGGCGCCCCCCAACCTCTACGCTGCGCAGCGCTATGGCCGCGAGCTCCGGAGGATGAGCGACGAGTTCCAGGGATCATTCAAGGTGAGCGCCGACCCGGCGCGTCGGGGACAGTAAACCCGGGGCTTGCCGGGACCCTACTTCCGGGCCACCTCCCGCTGGGTGTCCCGCCCGAGTCCCAGAGCACGTCGGGACCTGTAGTCCACACCTCGCCCCAGAAAGCTGAAGCTCCCGGTTTCTCAAGTCCTTGGAGCGCGAGGCTTGCTGGTATTTGTGTTCCCGGGCAATCCCTTCCGGATATCCGAGTTATTTTGGCCTCAGTTTCGGAACCGGTTCAGTAGAATTGAAGTCCCGTCTCCCAGACGCTGTCTTTGGCTCTGCGCTTACAGCGTCCTAGGCCTCAGCGCCCCCGCCCGTCTCACGGAGTGTCTGCGATCTAACCGGTCCCATTCTTAAGGGCCCTAGACATCTTTCATGCTTAGAGAGGTCAGGAGACTCCTCAGCACCGGGCATGCTGGGTGTGACGGTCTTTTATTCCCCACCTCGGGATCTCACTTAGGGGTAGGATTCTGGAAACGGAAAGGCCTGATTTAACCCTTTTTTCTCCCACCCCGAAGGGACTTCCTCGCCCGAAGAGCGCAGGCACAGCTACGCAAATGCGGCAGAGCCCCAGCTGGACACGCATCATCCAGTCCTGGTGGGATCGAAATTTGTGGAGAGGAGGTTCCGCCCCCTCCCAGTGACCTGCCGTCCCACATTCCGGAATCCGCCGTTCCCGCCGCTGGCAGCCATCTTGGGTATGGGCGGAAGTCTATCCGTAGGCCTTATGCACAAGGAGGATCGGTTGTGTCCTTTTCGAAAGGAGGCAGTCTGACCCAGAGCCTGATTTCGTTCCGGTGTGTGGGAGGACCACTGAGGGGTTCGGCCCCATCGGAAGTTTGAGGTTTTCGGTCCTTAGCCGCCGGAAGTGGTCCCGAGACCCCGTCTCCCCGACCCTGGGCTACCAGAGGCACCTGCGGAAAGGTGCGAGCTGGGAAAGCCGTAACTTCACCAGAACCCTTTTATCTGCGGTAACTCCGCGGGCCGACGCTCGCCTGGGATGTGCTAATAAAGCCCGCGTCTGCGCCGCCGAGTCTCTGTCCGTCACTTGGGGCTTCGCGGGCAGGGAGAGAGCTAGCATTGAGTTTCGAAAGATGCCCCCCGTTTTACTGATAAAGGAAGCTGAGGCTTTTAGAGTTACTTATCCTGGGGTCTAAGTGGCGGGCAGAGCCAGGGCTGCATGGCCTCCGGGAAGCAGAGCGCGGCCAAAGCCCCAGGGACCTCCAGGTCTTTATCTCTAATGTAATTGGGAACCGCCGGCCAGCTGCCGGAATTCCGCGTTCTCCAAGTCGTGCTGCCGTCCCCCAGGGAGGGTCATTTGTTCCTATTTGGGCCAGTCCTCTCGAGCAGCTACTGTGTGGCCGGCCCGGGGCCAGTGCTGCTCAGGGAACTGGCGGGGCGCCTAGGACGGAGGGGGGTGGCAGAAGACTGGCTCAGGGCTGTGAATAAAGCGATGACTAGGGAACCGAAGCTTCACCAGGGCCTGGGAGCAGGGCTCGAGCTCAATTCCAGATTTATTGGCGCCCCCTGTAGACCAGCGAGTCCTTTGTACCGGGTATACAGAGATTAATTTACCCCACCCCCTGCCATCCAAAGCTTCCTGGCAAGAGAGCCAGCCTATTGAATAGTTACCGCCAACCGAGTGCTCTAGGGTTCAGAATCGGGGTGAGGGTGGCTCCCAAAGGCAGAGGGCTTCTGGTGAATTAGAGCTGGGGCTTGAAGAGACGGATGGGGGCGGGGGCTGTCATTCTCAACAGAGGAAAGAACAGACCCACAGAAGGATGAAGGAGCAGCAAAGGCCAGACTTCAGAGGGGCTTGAATGTCATACCCAGGATTTGGAGCTTAGCCTGGTCTTTGAGGACCCAGGTTCTGATGTAGTGTTTCTGTAAGTAGGTTGAAGAGATTCAGGAAGATGCTGAGATTCAGGTGGCTGCTGAGGGGCCTGAACACCGAATATAGAGTAGGCAGATTTGGGGATGAGACAAGGCCTGACTACAGAAGCAGGGCTAGGGCAGTGGTACTGACCCTGAAGGAGCAAGGCCCAGGGCAGAGGTTCCAAGCCCTGAGAAGGCCCTACTCTGGAAGCCCAGTTTCTTTGGCTTCCCCACCCCATCTGTTGGCCTGAGGCTGCAGCAAAAACAAAGAGAAAACACTCAACTGGCAGGAGATAAGCCCAGATAAGAGACTGCCTTCCTCTGGAGGAGGGAGGCAGTCAGCTCAGGAAGCGCCAGGAAGCTGGGAGAGGCCTTGAAGAAGTGCCAGGCTGACCCTGCTTGCAGAACACAGCCGCACCCTCGCTGCGGGGTCTCTGCCACTCCACGCTGTCCCACGGGCCGGAGGGGGAAGCATGGAACAAGTTCTCCAGGCTGGCCGAAGACAATCTGCCATAGAGGGTCCAGGACTGCCCTGCCTCCGTCAGGACATCTTGACTTAGCTGTGGCCTGGCACACTGTGACTTCTCCTCTCGACCTCAATTTCCTCATCTGTAAAACAGGCAATAAGATCTCCCTCACAGGGATGAGGTGGGTGCTGGGTCTCCCAGCCCCTGTGGGTATCAGACTCAGCTACCCTCGGAGGGCCACTGCCAGGCCCACCCCCTTCTCACCTGTGGCTGATCTGGGCAGGCTATGACCTACCTAGCTCCACGCCTAGCAGACCAACAGAGAGTCAACTCCCTGCTTGGGGCCCAGAGCAGCCTGGGCGCAAGATGTTGGGCGCTTGGGTCATATCAGGCAACAGGAAGGGGGGGCAGGGAAGGCTTCCTGAAGCAGAGGGCCTGAGCCTCTATGAAGGGAGAACAAGAGCCCAGGAGTAATGGAAGTGGGCAGGAGTGACAGCCCAGGAGCAGAGGACAGAGATGGAAAAGCCTGGGATGGGGGTAAGGATAGGGACCAGAGGGCCTCTGATACCAGGTCACTGAGAAAACCTGCAGGCCCCAGGTAAGGGGTCCCAGGGTCAAAACTCAGCAACCGTTCACTGGGGGCCTGACCTCAACCCAACACCACCCTCAAGCCTGTTTTTTAGATGAGGAAACTGAGGACCTAGGGCCCAGTCCTCTCCAGCACTGCCCCACTCCAAGCCACACTGCACACAGGGTCCCTGAAATCCACATTTATTCATGTAAAAAAATCCCCAAAGAATAGAGAAGGAATGTGACCCCTACTTCCCAGAACTTAAAGTCTCCACCCAGCATTCCCTGGGGAAGTGAGGGCTCGTACTCTCTCTCCCTGGAATGGGAGTGAGGCCCTTTGGGCCCGGCGTGACCCAGCACCTTCCCTAGGACTGAGGGCTGGAGGCTAATGGAGCCCCAGGAAGGTGAAGGAAAGGAGTTAGTGTGGGGTGCTTGCTCCAGTTTAAAAAAATAAAATTTCTAAAGAGTAAAAGTTTTTTTAAAAAAGCATTAGTGTCTTAGTTGCCTGCCCTCCTCCCAGTACCCACCCTGGCCCTGTGGACACCTCTTGCTCAGTCTGTTCAGAGCTTCGTATTCTCCTCTTGGCTCTCCAAGTCAGCCCCAGACAGGTGCCCACTGCTCCTGGGAGCATGACCGTTGCTGGCACAGGCCACCACACGCCCGTCCCCCAGCCCCTCCGACATCTCGCCCAGCAGGCTCCGGCGGATCTCCTGAGGCAGCCTCGCCCGCTGCTCCTGACACTCCTGGGCCAGCTGGGCCAGCAGCTAGGGGAGGAGGAGGAATATCACAGGTGAGGCCATGCCACCCAGCACTCTGCCCGCCTGCCACCTCTCCCAGGTCTCACCTTGGGCTCCTCCTCCGCCAGCTGCTGTAGGACCTGCTGCTGCCCAGACACAAGGCGCTCGTGCCGCTGCTTCTGGGCCTCCTCCAGCTGTCGGGGCAAGGGCTCAGCTGAGGGTGCTCAGGGAGAGGCTGGGGCCCTGGGGATCTGGCTGGGCACCGAAGTCAGGCAGGCAAAGGCTCCCAGGATTGCGTGGCCAGGGTTCTGAGATGACCCCTTACAGTGAACATTCCAGACCCAAAGACTCCAAAGCCATGGGGCACTACTGCAGATGACTGGCTTTGTATATGATGTGGGCAAGAGGGGGCCATGGGGCCCAGAGGGAAAGGCTCTAGAAGCCCCTCTAGGGCAACATAGCACCAGCCTAGCCACTACGGAGATGGGTTTCTGATGACTGAAGGAAGAAGGACGGGCTGGCACTTGAGACTCACTCACCCGACGGATGGAGTTGACCGACTCAGTGATGTGCCGACGATTTATCTCCGTCAATTCCCTGCACGGGAGCAAGGGAGGACAGGTTCAGTGTGCAGGCACCCAGCCCTGCCTGTCTAGCACCCAAATGGCTCCCGGTCCCAACGCCCTTACGCCTCCTTCTTGTGTTTCTCCCTTGTCTTGGCCTCTGAGATACTGTTGTGGCGCTTCCTGTCCAGGATTTTCTGCAGTTCCTTTTTCTCCCTGGAGGAGTCAGTGGGGGAAGAGGAAAGGTCAGTGGCTAGACCCAGGGCTCTGCCCTCCTCCTGGCACCAGAGTCCTCACCCTACCCACACAAGATCCTTTGCCTTCACCTCTCATTAATCTCCTTCAGCCTTTTGACCTGAGTTGTGTGAGCATCCAGGACAATCTCCCTGAGCCGTTGCTGAGCCTATGGACACAGGTGGCCATCAGGTGACATGGGCTGATGACCAGTCTATCCTGGAGGCAGCCTGTCCCTCCACGCCACATGTGCCACCTCACCTGTCTCAGGTGCTCCAACCTCCGCTCGGCCTCTATGTCTGCCTGGGCCTCCTTGAGCTCTAGCAGACTCTGCACCTGCCTCTTCTGGAACTCTTGATATCGCTTCACCTCTTCCTCTTCCTTCTCATTCTCTCCGCCTCTATGGGTTGGGAGGACAGCAGGGGTCAGGGCATATCCCAGCAGGCAAGGGCAGGCAGCCCAGGGGGCAGGGTCTGTTATGCCAATGAGGAGGCCTGTTAGCTCCACCCAAATGATGGGAACCTGTTTCAGCAACAGTATCTCAAAATACACACTCCTCATCGGGGACATCAAAAGAGGTGTCACTCTCTGGTGGGAAGAGGGTGGAAGCCCATGGGGGAAGCCGCCTCTATCTTCCTTGCACCAAACCCTGCTCTCTGGGGGTCAAGGAGCAGCCCATGGCCACCCCTCCAGGACAAGCTAGTGTGGACCCACACACACCCAGCCATGCATGCAGCAAGCACAATTGCACACCAGCAGGTACACACTCACAGGACACCTGGCTGGTGCCGGCACCTGCCCTCAGCCCGGGCCTGGGCCAAGCCGTCAAGCAGCCGGCGAGTGAGGGCGACCGCCTTCCGCTGATGCTTCTTATACAGCTCCCGCAGGTCTCGCTCCTGCCGGCTCCGGAGCTTCCCCAGAGCCTTGTGGCTTCGGAGCTCATCCAGCGGGGCTGGGGCCACCTCTGTGAGCAGAAAATGCAGGCTGGGCTGGGCTGAGGCAGGCCAACCCTACAGGCGCACCCCGCTCCCCCCCGAGTGGCCCCCACCCCCAGAACAGCCTTGCCCCTACCTGACAGGATGCTGGCAATGAGGTCATCCCGCTGACCTGGAGGGCAAAGGCGGAAGCTGAGAAGCTGCAGGAAAACGAGTGGAGCTGCTCCCTTCAGCTCACCCCAGACCCAGGGCGCCCTTTACCTGGGCTGCTCAGGGAGGGGCTGGTAGGCGAGGTGGCAGGGCCTGGAGGCCGGCGGGGGGAGGTGTCCAGTGGGCTAGGTGTGGGGTTTGGGGTCAGCTGGGACCCCAGCTGCTGAGACGGGGTCTCCTGGCATGTCTCCGGGCCAGCCTGAGCCTGTGGGGAAGAAAGCAGTATGCTCCTTCCAGAAATGCTCTTCTCCCCACACCCTCCCGAGGCCCCCGAGTGCCCCTGGCTGGCCTCCCTCAGCCTGTCTGGCCGGCTCCTCATCTGTAACGAAGAGCTGTTGGGACAAACCACAGGAGAAATAAGAAGTATTACACAAAACAGGCATTTCTAAACCCCTTTGCCACATGGAGTGTGGGAAAGATACTGTGAGATCATGTCTCTAGGATGCCAGGCCCTACTGCATGTGCTCAGGAACTTTAAGATTGTTCTGGAAAGGCCTGGCCCAGCCCCAAGTTTCCTCCCCTCTCCAAGTGCCCCTCCACCCTTGCCCACAGCTTCTCATCTTCCTTGTTGCTTAGCTCCTGATTAGATCAATGAAGGAAGTGACCACAGAGTGGGCACCAGCCTCTCCCACCGGCTAACAGCTCCAAGCAGCCATCTCTTCCCTGCCTGTCTGCCATGGCCCCTGTGGGACTGGGTCTAGATGTGCAGGCGAGCCTCTGCTCCTGACCCCTCCCCACAGAAGCCGCTGCGGGTCTCATGGCTCCCACAAACCCACATTTTAAAAGCTCCTATGGCTTCCAATTGCCCTGATCAAGTGGCTGAAACCTGTACCCCAGCTTTGACCCCACTTTCAGCTGGAGGAATTGCAACCCAGGTCTGTCCTGAAGGCCTCTCATATACAAAAGGGGTGGTTTCCACCTCTGCAAAATTTAGAGAGTAACCCAAGGCTGCTGAGCCCACTGGGAGGCTGGAGACCCCACACCCTGCAGCGTGGTGGGAAGGCCAGTGCTGGAGCCTGCCCTGGCTCACCTCACTCTCCCCGATGAGAGCAGCCAGCTGCTTGGCCCTCTGGTCCATCAGGCTGACATGCTTGATAGGGTTGATCAGGGCCTCTGCATAGTCTGGGTGGGGGCAGAGGGCAAGGGTTTTGGAGACAGAACCCCCCAGGGCCACCCCTTTCCCACCAGTTCTGTCTCCCAGAGGGACTGCAGAATCCACCCTTGGATCTGTTTACTACCCTCAGTTGGAGCCACCCAGCTTAGCCACTCTTAGGCCCTGGTGGCACCCTTACCCGCTACCCTGCCTGGTCTGCCCCCACCAGCTCCCTCTACTCACCCTGGTGGTCATCTGGGATGTAGTCGGAGGCTTCAGTGTAGATGAGAAGGGCTGGCAGGCACAGTGGCTGGTTGGCCTCATTCCGCAGGCAGATGTAGTGGTACCCTGGGAGGGTGGGAGGGCAAGGTGGCTGGGCCCCACCAGGTCCCCACACACACTGTCCCTGCACTGCCCAGAGCCCAAATGGCCTCACCTGACCGGATGGCAGAGACAGGTAGGATCCGGTGCCCCACGAACTTGCCACCCTCCTCAAAGGCTGCGATGCGCAATGAAGCCAGAGTGGGTAGCACCACCTGTGGGTTCAGACTGGGTCTGAGTCCTGGAGCTGATCTGTGGCCATGCATCTACAAGCCACAGCCGACTACAGCCACCAGGCCAGCACTCAAGAGTGGACCCTCACACAAGCTGACCCAACGACTGACCACCTGTCACCATCGCCCTGAGCCACCGGTGGCTCCACATCACCAGAGCCTGGCCACGTGGATGACCAGCAGCAGCCATCAGAGCCGAGCCAGCAGAACAGGTGCTGAGACCCCGTAAGGCACCACCGCAGGGGGATGAGTTGGTCATCACCAGCTTGAAAGCCGCAGTGTAAGCCGTGAGTCGGACTGAGGCCACGCCCCACCCCGGCTGGCCCCAGGGGTCCAGTCCATTTGGGAGCCAGGAAGAGCTGGTGTGTGCTCAAGGCTATGCCTTCCTGCCTGGGAGATGGGGTGGGCAGCACCCCCTTCTCATGGTGGGCCACGGGACCTCCTGCTGTCCCAGCTTCCTGTCTCCCCTCACCCTGCTGAGGGCAAGTAGCCCAAGCCTGATCCTGAGACATGGAGGACCTAGGAGGGCCCAGTCTTGAAGTCCCTCTGCACCCCCACCTTCCAACTCCCAAGTGCCACCAGTGAACCTGCTCCCTGCAAGGAGAGCCTGGTGGGTCTGGCCAAGCTCACCTTGGGGAAGTCAAAGGGCTCTTCATCCCACACAGGGTTGAACGAGTTCCCCTGAGAGGTTCGTGTGCGGTACCTGCGCCGAGTATCAACAGGGAGGCCGAACATATCCACCTCTACGTAGATGCCCACTTTCCTGTCAGACAGGAACTGCCCCGAGATCACCTGGCGGGGACCAGCAAGGTGAGGCGGCTGCAAGTCCCACCCCCAGGGCATCCTGGCTGTGCCCTCTCTGGCCCCACCTTGACTCGCAAGGCATTGGCCACAATGCCATCCACGATGACTTCGGTGAAGGGGTCAAAGGACTTGTCTGGCCGCCGCATGAACTCAGGCTTGAGCAGGTAGCCGCTGCGCCCATTGTACTCAAACACACCTGCATTGAGCTGCATCGCCACATCTGGGGATGACATGGGGAAAGCAAGGGTCAGCAACAAGTGAGGTCAGGAGTCAGGAAGGACAGTGCCACGCCGAGGGGTGACCAGCGACCACTAGGGTCAGATCAAATGGCATCAGAGGTCCAGACTTAGGAGAAACTGGATGAGGGAGAAGTCTAGGGTCAGCTAAGGTCAAGAACTGGGGTTAGCCAAGGTCTCTGTTCGGTTTGGGAATCTGAAATTAGATAGTCAGAGGTCCATTCAGACAAGATTAGCAGGGTCATGGGGTGGTGGGTCTGGAGGCGAGGAGTCAAGGGTCAAGGTAGGCCAGTGCTCACCCAGGGTCTGGAAGTTGAGTGCGACAAGCTGGCAGCCCACGTTCCAGAAGAGCTGGGGCATGTAATTGGATGAGTCCACGCGGGTCCCCTTGGGGTAAATGCGGCTAAGCTGCTGCTTGTTGTATCTGAGGTTGGCAGTCAGGGGCCATGCCATGTACTGGCCCCCAGGCTTGGTGCTCCAGGCCTGTCTTTGGCTCCTGTGAGCCATTTCCCAGCCTTGGCTGAAGCTGCCCCTTTGACCCCCTGCTTTTTGGCTTAGCCCCTGCGCTGTCTCCCAGGCCTGCCCAAAACCCAGCCCGGAGGGCTGCAGGGCCAGGACCCCGTGCCAATGGCATACACGAGGTCAGAACACCTGAGCACCCCTACACTGGCCCAGTAGCCCCAGCAATGCAGAAGGATACTCTACAAACTCCATGGGGCTCTTGGTCAGTTGCTCCATGGCCTTGGTCTCCACAAAAGATGACATCTCGAACCACTTGTTCCTCTCTATGGGGTAGATGGCAGGAGTGGGTCAAGCCTGGCAGGGTTGGGCTGGCTCTCACTCCCATAGTCTCCCACCCCACTCACTTCGAGCAGCCTCAAAGGACTTGAACTTGACAGGTTCAATGTAGTTGACAAGTGTTGACATTTCCTCAGTGGCATTGACCTCACTGCTGGCGGTGCCCTGTGGCCCCCAAACACAGGGTCAGCAATGCCATGTTCCTATCAGCTGGAAGCTCCCTCACCTGACCCCCTGCCACAAAGGAGACATTGACGTTCTTCCCAGCCCTGCACTCACACTGCCCAGTGGTTCTCTGCAAGGGCCCTGGCCCTGCACAGCCTCTAACAGTCCCAGTCCCGTCTGCCCCAAAGCCTTCCCCCTGGGGCCTTGCCACATGCCCCTTGCCCCACCTCCTGCAACCAGTCCTGTGCCTGGCACATAGTAGGTGCCCAGTAAATGCTTAGGAAATGAATACATGCTGCCTTCCCCTCCTCCTGCCTGCAGGCCTGACCTCATCAGTGGTTGGCTTTTTGGGGTCTGTCTGTTCCTCCTCTTCTTCATCTTCCTCCTCATCCTCACGGTCGGCAGGTGCAAGAGCATCGGAGGCCCGCTGCAGCCCCTCCTCGCCCAGCGACTTCTGGGGCTCCAGGCTGGGCTTCTCAAGGCCTGCCTCCTCCCCATTGCTCAGGCCTGGGCAGCTGTCAGAGCTGGGGGACCCTGCAGGGAATGGGGATGGGGTTCAGGGGGAGGGCACATAGAGACACTCAAGAGCTGGGGAGGAGCTATGCCTAATGTGTGTGGCGGTGACTGGGGGAAAGTCACGGAGAACTCTCAGGGCAGTGGGCTGGGGGAGAGGGCAGAGGTTAGGAGTTGGATGGTATTCAACCCAGTGATAGTGTAGAGGGACCACTGGTCAAAGATCTTAGTCCCCAGTTATATCCGTCAGGGAGGGAGGGAGGGTTGCTCAGAAACCAGGACCTCAGGTGCACCTGCTGGGACAGTGGATATAAAGGAGGACAAGGTAAGGTTCCTAGTCAGGCGTCAGAGCCACACCTTATGAGAGGGCTGAGTTGAAGTCAGCAGTCAGGGCCCGGATTTAGGGGACTTCAATAAAGCCTTCAATAAAGGTCAAGGGTTAGGTGAAGTTATAACCAGTTGGGTGGGCAGACTCAACGCACATCACAGGACAGAGAGCTGAAGGTCACACCCAAAGAATGGGGATGTGGTTCACTGAGGTCAGAGGTCAGAATTCAGAATCTAAGCTGGTTGGTGTTGAGGGAGTGGCTCTGTGAGGTGGGAGGTTGAGGTCAAGGCTGAAGGCAGAGGAGCTGGATGGAGCCAAATCCAACTGGGGTGTAGTTCAGTGAGGCGAGCACCTGGGGCCAGGGGTCAGAGGCCCCATACTCAGCTGAGAGGTAGTTGGTGGCTTGGGGAGAAGGGGGATCAGGTGGGAACAGAAAGAGTGCCCCCAGGGAGGGCTGGGCTCTGACATGGGAGACTGGGGTCAGATCAGGGCCGAAGGTCGGGCCAGGGCCCTACCGAGCTGAGGTGAGGAGGGCTCAGTGGCAGCGGAGCTTTCGCTCACGGCTGAGTTGCTCTGCTCCAGGGGCCGCTTGCGCACAGAGCTGTCGGGGACGATGGTGCTAGGCTGGTGCCGCTTCTTGTTCTTCACCAGGATGCGGCCCATCAGGTCCTGGGGGCTGGGCAGGGGGATGCCCGGGGCCAGCTGGTGGGCACCAACAGGTCAGGACCTGCTGGGCCCCCCACACCCACCATGCCCTGACACAGCTCTGAGCCCCCATACCGGATACTTGTCCAGTGGGTCGATGAGCAGCGCATCCCCGAAGATGGAGCGGCAGTACTCCGCCATCTTGGCCTGCTGCTTTGCCCTGTGGGGCCAAGGTCAGAGGTCAGAGATTCCTGAGATGAAGCTGAGGTCCCCAAGGTAAGTCAGAGGCCTGCACTGTCAGAGGAAGGTCCTGGGGTCGGAAGTGACAGGAGCAGTCCAACCGGGCCATGGGGTGCTATCTCTGAGTCAATAGGGGCCCGGGTCAGAGGCCTCCATATTAGAGGTTGCCAGGACAGACGTCTTGGGTTGGAGGGCCCGGGTGTGGGGTCCCTGGGTCAGAGGCCCACTCACGAGTCCACATGGTTCTCGAAGGAGAGGATGACGGGGTAGGGTGAGGTCTTGAAGGCAGTCTCTGCAATGGCCTCTAGCACGTCTCGCAGCGGCACCTCAGTGGTCATGGTGAAGCCGTGGGTGATGAAGGGCTCCTCCTCGGGCGGCCGCCCCTTCCACACGTCCAGCTCCACGCAGCGGCAGCCCCACAGCAGCACCTGCCGGTACATCTCCACCGACGAGGCCCCCGCCAGCTGCCCCGCTGGGGGCGAGGCTCTGTCATCAAGGCTGCCCAGCCAGCCCAGCTCCTCTCCCTCCTCCACAGGCCTGTGCTGAACCCGGGCACACTGGGGACGAGATGCCCCTGTGGCAGCCTGCCCAGCCCTGGCACGCTCCGTCTGGCCAGCCCCAATCACTCCGTAATTCACTGTGGACCCGGCACCATGTCTCCCAGAAGTCCCCAGGGCAGGGCCTGTGTTGTGCCACCCAGCCCCTGGCACCCACCCAAGCTGGGCAGAGTCGGCATCCACCAGTTCTGGCTGGCGGCTTGGTTCCTCCTCCAGGGCACCCTCTCAAATAAACACCCACCCCACCCCCACCCCACCAGCCTGACCTGAGAGTCATCCCCAATACCTCATGCCCCCCACTTCCCTTTCCTTCTTCCACCACCTGCCACTGCCCTGGGTCAGCCTCCATCGTCTCCTGCCTGGGGACAGAAGCCTCTCCCTGACTCCCATCCAACCTCGGCAAAGTACCTGGCATCATTCTTCTAAAAACAGACAGACTGGGTCACCTCACCTTCTCCTTCTTAACACCCTCCAAAAAACCTTTCTGAGCCACTTAGGATCAATCCAAATCCCCTCCAGGCCCTGGTGGTCTGGCCTTACCTGCTCTCCTGGCCTGCCTCACCTGCACCTGCCTTAGCCTCTGCCCCGCCCTGCCTCCCAGCCTCTCTTCTGCTTAAGATCTCCAAGTGATCTCCTGCTGCAGACCTCAGGCCTTCACAGAGGCTGCTCCTTTATGAGGCCTCAGCCCTTCCCTGGGGAGCCTTGAAACCACTGAAACACCCCATGGCAAGAAGAACCCGAAGCAGGCTGGCTGCCCCCCTGCCTGCATCCCTAACACTTGTGACCCTAATGAAGGGAGGCAAGGTAAGTACCAGATGGCAGAGGTCACAGACACCACCCCTCCTCCCTCCCCAGCTGGCTGAGGGCGGCTGGCTCACCGGTGAGATAGGTATTGTGTGAGGAGTTGATGAAGTAAGCGCTCAGCGGCTGGGTCATGTCCGCACTCAGATCCAGGGCCTCTAGGGGCAGGATGCCATTCTCCTCACCTGCCAGGTAGCGGCTGAAGCCCTCCATAGACATCTGGTCTGGGGTTGGGGGCAGGTCAGCTGGGGCCTCTCCTGCCAGCCCCCTGCCACCAGCCCTGGCCCAGCTCACCTCGCTCCAGGAACTGCTTGTTGGGTTCATACTTCTCGATGAGCAGCCGGGCCTGGGAGGGCCGCAGGGGTGGGTACAGCACTTCGTTGAGCCTTGGGTCCCGTTGCTTCTGGTTAATGAAGTCCATGAGCTGCTCCAGCGTCAGGTACGGCTTGCCCTTGGCACCTCTGGAGGGGGCAGGAAGTCGAGTCAGGCCGGAGCCTCCCCAGCCCCTCCTCCAACCCTCATCTTGCTGAGGGAGTTGGAAGGTCTGTGCCTGCACCCAGCACCCACTGACTGGGACTTCAGCAAGTCATTGCCCGCTTTGAGCCTCAGTCTTCCCATCCGCTCTCTCCTCATCACTCAGCACTGGCATGGGCATTAATTAGCACAGGCTTTGGAAGCCACCACGTGCTTGGCCCCCAACACCTCCTTCTGGACCTGGACACACTCTCAGCTGTGTGAGCTCAGGCAGGACCCACACCACACTGGAGCCACTAGGTCTATAGCCCCAGTGTGAGTGACGGAAGTAACCCCAGCAAAAGGTCAGCACGGGACAGGCCAGGACAGAGCTCCAGGCAGGGCGGCTCTGAGCTCAAGCACAGCCTAGGCACAAGGACGCCATCAGCCCCACTTCCCCTCACTGGGCAGGAAGACACCCATGGAGGCCAGACACGGAGCCCTGGGAACTGGGAACTGGGAGGTAGGCCTGGCCTGCTCACATCTCCAGTAGGATCTTGTCAATGTCCGGCCGCAGACACAACTTGTTCAGGAACCGCTCAAAGATTTCCAGGGAAAACTCGTCAGGCCGGATGGACTCGCTCTGGGGGGCAGGAGTATGGGGTGAGGACCAGCCCCAAGAGAGCAGGCGCCCACCAAGACACCCCCTTTGCCCCCGGCCTGGCTCCTCACCCGATTGAAATTGAGGCCACAGGACTCCAGCGCGGTCTCCACCCGCTTCTTGTCTGCGGAGAACATCTTCAGGATGCTAAGCAAGCAGGAGGGGTCAGGGTCAGTGGGGCAAATCCACCAAGGTCAGGGCAGGAGAGAAGGTGCTGAGGGAAAAGGGAGCTCACTTCTTGACTGGGATCCGTCCATCCTGGTTCACCTGCAGCTTCAGCTTCGTGTATCTGGGGAGGCAGGTGGGAGGGTCACACCCTGGACACAGGTACTTGCACCCCCGTCACTCCCCGGGGAAGGCCTGGGGCTCACGCTTTGCGCAGGAAGGTGTTCCGGGAGGCATTCTGAGCCAGGATGTTCATAGCCAGCTTGAACAGCTCCTCAGACCAGACCTAGGGGTCAGGATACAGCAGGGAGGGATGAATGGGGAACAGAGGCGCTGGCACAGCCACAGCCCACACCCAGGACCAGGTCTGGCACACACAGGAAGTGCTTAAATACCACTTTGTCAGAGAATGACTAGAAACAGGGGCAGAGAACAGCCTAGGACACAACAAGCACTCGCCAAGTGATAGCTGACTTAGCCAGTGAGGTGGGGGCTGCCCGGGCCAACTCCTCAGCCCCCGCCTACCTGGGCTGTGTCATCCTGCACAGCCATGAAGTTTAAGAATGTTGTGTTCACTGGGTCTGGCCCAGCTACCACTGTCATCAGCTTCTCCTCCAGCCGAGTGTCAGGACCCCCAAAGCCCAGCACCTCCCGGATCTTGGGGTCCTAAGTAGGTAAGAGCCAAGAGTAAGGAGGGGTGTGCCCAGCCCCATGACCCCACTCCCATCCTTAGTCCTGCGCCCAATCACTCACCTTGGGCAGGCGGGCGTGACGGCCCGTCCGCGTGTCCCTGATGGAGCTGATGTCCAGTGTATCTACCTCCTGGGGAAATCAGATGCCAGAGGAGGTCTGACAGGCTCCGGGGAGAGAGCTGGGAGCCCCCAAGATCCCTAGCCAGAACAGGGAGTGGCCACGCCTTGCTGTAGCCCCAGCCTTAGCCCCCACCCTTAGCACTTCCTGTCCAGGGGCCGTGGGAGAGGTCAGCCCACAGCTGGGCCCCACCCCCATGGACAAAGGGGAGAGGGTTCAGGGGTCTGGGGCAGAAGCTCTAGACCTGAGCAAGCTGCACCAGTGCCTGCCCTCACCATGTTGGGTCCCGTCCAGTACAGAAAGAAGCCATTGGAGTCCACACGCAGGGTCACCAGGTTCCGACTGGAGGCCTCCTGGGGTCGAGACGGGTGGCAAGAGTCAGGGAGTGAGGACTGCAGCCCAGGTGTGGCCATCCACCCCAGTGTTCCTGCCAGTGAGCAAAGATGAAGCCTCATCTTGCACACAGGTCCTTTGTGGCTCCCTATGGTCCTCAATGTGACATCTGGGGTCCCGATGCCCCTACCAGCCTCATCTGTCATTCTAAGACTCTGGGATGAAAAAGTCCAAGCCCCACAGCCTTTCTGTGTCCCTCAGGGCCCCCGATGACTGGCCACCCCTTAAATCTGCCTCAAAGTCCCCTACCCTGCACCCCACCAGAACCTCAGAGCCTCCTGGCTCACCTCATCTTACAGAACACAGACCGAATCCCCCCAGAAGAGGACTCACCCTGCCTCCAGGACTGGACAGTGAATTCTGTCCTCCCTCAAACAGCCCTACAGCTGGCAGACAGGCAGGGAAGGGGTACTGGCCCCATTTTCCTAGGAGGGCCTGGTCCCTGGCAGAGGGGAGGTGGTCATCAGGGGCTTAGGCTCAGACAGGGCCTGCATGGCAAAGTGGCTGAAGGTAGAACTCTGCCCAAGGCTCCTCGGGCCAGGAGAGGGGCCTCACCTTGGTGCCACTCCCAACACCGCTGCTCACTGGTGGAGAATCCAATCATCAGTGCAAGAGCACACCCTCACAGTGGCCCCACTGCACGCCAGCTGGGGTCCTGGACGCTTACTACCTAGAGGCTCACTTCATTCTCCTAACAACCTGATGATGTCTGTGCCATTGTTCTTCCTGTTTAACAGATGAGAAGACTGAGGCACAGGGAGACTCTGTAACTTGCCTAGGGTCACGAAGAGGCATCAAAATTTGCCTGCAGGCAGTATTGCTCCAGAGTCCTGTGACCTGGGATGCAGGGAACCAGGTCCCTGCCAAGGTCCCAGGTCCTGGTCTCAGCTGCAACCCACTGTGGGGCCTGGGATTAGGCTCCACCTTCCAGACTCAGTTTCTTCTTGTGGAGAATGGGGATTGCACCAGCCCCGCCCATCTCAGGCTTTGCTGACAAAGGCAGGAGGTTGATCTGGGGGCAGAGGGGACAGGAGGCTCTGGAACTCTGGGGATGCTTGGGCGTCCCACCTTAGGGCTGACACTCATCCTCAGGCCTTTTCTGGGATACCCAATCCTGCCCCGCCAACAGTGTGAGAGGGGAGTTTGTGTGTACTGTCCCCAGAGCCTCCACCTGCCCCTCCCCAGGGGTCTGGCCTACAAAGTCAGCCCAGGCCCCCTGCTCTCCAGCCCCAAGTCCAAGTCAGCAACCCCTACCCCACCCCCAGGGCCCTCTCCCTGTTCCCACTTCCTTATTTGGGTTTATCACACTGGAAGGAAAAGAAACTTTTCCCTTCAAGCTGGCCTAGGGGGAGGGGTCTCCCCTGGTCCCTGGGGCTCCCAGGAACCCCCCTCTAAGGCCCACCTGCTGCATCAGGCCACGCCCCCAGCCCCTCCCTCCCACTCCTACCTGCCCCACCCAGCCGGAAAGGAGCCCAGAGCCTTCCAGGTCTCTGGCCTGACTGGGTAGGAGCAGCAAAGAAACAGGCCCAGGAGAGGCCCTGGGGAAGGAGGCCCAGGGGGTAGAGGACAGGGCAGTGTGAAAACGAGGGTGCGGCGCAGGAAATGGCTGGGGAGCCCCAGACTGGGGGTTGGGGCACCTGGGAAGCACCAGGGGCAGGGCAGGTAGAAAGGGGGGACAGGACTTATTGGGGTTCAAAGTCCCGGTGCTAAGGAGTGGAGAGCAAAGTTCCCCAGGAGAGAGGAACTTGGGGGGGCCAAGTCTCCACTAGGGGGTGACTTGGTGCTCCCACCAGAGCAGGGAGCTGAGCTAAAATACAGAAGCGGGGCAAAGGGGTGTCAGCCAGAATAGGGTGCGAGAGAGATGAATGGAGAAGACTGTTCAGGCTTGGAAGAGTACGGTCCCAGCGGTACCCACTCAGAATGGGGGTGCACTGAGCCAGACTGGGGGCCAAGGTCCTCGAACCAGAGAGTCCAGTACCAGACAGGGGTCTGAGGACCAGCCCCAGGTTAGGGGAACCAGAATTAGATATGCAGGGAAGGGTGGGGAAGGCGAGTAAAAAGCTGGGGTGTAGGGGAAGGCTGGATTTATTGCGGTTCGAAGTCTCCGGGGCCAAGGAGCAGAAAGACAAATTTTCCGCAGCTGAAAGACGGTAAGGGGGGATGGAGCGGGGTGGGGGTGGGATACGCGGAAAAGTCTTCATAAGGGGACTACTGGGGACTCAAGTTCCGGAACGCAGCCAGGCTGAAATGAGGGGACGCCGTGGCCAGGCCATGCTGGCGGGGGTCCCGGCGTCTGGCCGAGCTGGAGTGAGGGAGTCCCCGGATCTGGGTGGATCGGGCCCCCACGCTTACCTCGTCCCATTTGATGAACTTACTCCCGCGCCGTAGGGTCTCTACCACAGTGGGCGGCTCCAGCTGCAGCGTGTGGACGCCGGGCCTGGCGCCTGCCATGGCCGGGCTGGGGGCGGGTCGGGGACCCAGGGAGCCCCGACGGGGACCGACGGCGCCGCTGCTCCCTCCGCGCGCTCCCGCGAGGCCCGCTCCAACCCCGCGGCGTCAGCGCCCGCCGGCCAGCCAGTCTGTCCCGGACGGGCCAGAGAATCGGCGGGGCCCGGGCGGGGCGGGGCGGGGGCGGAGCCACAGCGGCACCGCCCCCTCCCACCCACGTCGGGACCGCCCGCCCCTCTTGGCAGCTCCCCCTGGCGGCAGGGGCGGCGACTGCAGCCAGAGGGGGGATGGGGCAGAGGCCATCCTGGATCGGGACGCCTCGCTGGGGGGGCTCAGCTGGACTGGCCCTGGGTGGGGTAAGGGCGCTTGGCGACAGGGGTCTGTTGACAGTGCAGCTGTAGGGACTGGATGTAGAGGGCGCTACTGAAGTCCGGCCGGGGTCAGCCTACTAAAGTTCCTGAGGAGCCAGGAAGGGGTTTTCTACTGGAGGGCCAGACTTGGGCCTGGGGTTGCAGAGTCTGACTTCCCACCCAGCTCCTGCGACGTTTAGCCGAGGGCTAGTAAAGCCACAGCCACACCCCTTCTGCTCTCCCTTCGCTTCATCCCCCGCTGCAGCTACACGAGGTCCCCCTCCCTGGGAGCACTTAGCCAGCTAATGGCCTCCCGCCGGGAGGCACCCCTCCCCCGTCTCTAGCCCTGGGGAGGCCAGGCGCCTGCAGCGTATTTTGAGGACCCAGACATCCTGGTCTTCCAGATTGAGCCCTGAAACAGCACCTTCTAGTTACACAAACCCTGGTGACCCAATCTGGAGCCTGTCCCTGTGGAGCTCCTGACTGAAAATGGGGAAGGGTACAGCTGATTGTTTGCCCAGAGGGGTCAGAAGCCTGGTGGGTGACCCCGAACAAGGGGGGTTGAGGAGGGGCTCTGCAATGCCTGGCCCACAGCAGGTGCCCTGAAATCTGCGTTCCAGCAGATGGGAGGGGGAAGGCACATGGGCACTGGATGGTGGGGGGGCGCTGCAGCCCCTCCCGCAGGGCTTGGCTGGGGGGGCTCCTGCCTGGGGGCCCCTGTGGGAGCCCCCCCAATACAGAGGCAGTAGCAAAAGCAGGTTTAAAGTAGAACTCATCCAGAGGGGCCAGCCAAGTCACCTAGAAACCCAGAAAGAGATGAAGCTGGTTCTGGGGGAGGAGGGGTCAGTCAAGGAAGAGCAGGCCCTGCAGGCCCCTCTGCCTCAGGCTCTCAAACCCTCAGGCAGAGCCTGCCTGCCAATGGCCCTCCTCAAAATCCCAACCATGTTGTATGTGCCAACTCCAACCTAACAAATCTACTAGCCTTTAGCTGAGGCACTGTGGGGTGTGACTATTATCTTCACTTGAGGCCCAGAGGCTGGAAAGGACTTGCCCAAGGTCACACAGCATTGTAGGAGGATGTCAGCTTTCTGACTTAAAGGCCTGCTGGTCCTGCCTCCTCTGCTTGCCCTTGAGGAGACAAAGAAAGAGGAGTGGGGGGCAGGATTTATGATCCTTGTCCTCTCTCACCAGAGCAGCAGAGCCATACCCCTCAGACATCCAGGGACCCCCAGGTCTCACTGGAGGATGTGCAGTGAAGAGGTTGGCTTCTGCTCCCACGGGCCTGGGTACTGGCAGAACCTAGTCCCTTTCTGGCAGAAGAACCTAGTCCCTTTGTGCTTCTGTCACCTTGTCCAGAAGCTGGAGGTAGTCAGAGGATGAAATAAGCAGATGGGTATGAGATGACCCCTGACTACAGTCAGCTGGACAACTAAGGAGGGGGAGCCTAGCAGTGGAGGTGTAACAAGCTGTGGGGGCATCAGGAGGGAAGGAGGAAAGGGCAAGGATCAGCTCTGGGGAGAGGGGCCTGCCAGCCAGTGCCAGGCTAGCAAGGCCTGGAGCCAGGGCCTAAGCTTAGGGATCTGGACGGAGGTACTTCACAGAAGCATTCGGCAGTGGCTCCTTGGAAAACAAGACGGCAGCCTGTTGCCTGGGCCTGAGCCTCTCCTCCTCTCCTCCCACCCCATGTCTCCTGAGGCCNGGGCCAACTCCTCAGCCCCCGCCTACCTGGGCTGTGTCATCCTGCACAGCCATGAAGTTTAAGAATGTTGTGTTCACTGGGTCTGGCCCAGCTACCACTGTCATCAGCTTCTCCTCCAGCCGAGTGTCAGGACCCCCAAAGCCCAGCACCTCCCGGATCTTGGGGTCCTAAGTAGGTAAGAGCCAAGAGTAAGGAGGGGTGTGCCCAGCCCCATGACCCCACTCCCATCCTTAGTCCTGCGCCCAATCACTCACCTTGGGCAGGCGGGCGTGACGGCCCGTCCGCGTGTCCCTGATGGAGCTGATGTCCAGTGTATCTACCTCCTGGGGAAATCAGATGCCAGAGGAGGTCTGACAGGCTCCGGGGAGAGAGCTGGGAGCCCCCAAGATCCCTAGCCAGAACAGGGAGTGGCCACGCCTTGCTGTAGCCCCAGCCTTAGCCCCCACCCTTAGCACTTCCTGTCCAGGGGCCGTGGGAGAGGTCAGCCCACAGCTGGGCCCCACCCCCATGGACAAAGGGGAGAGGGTTCAGGGGTCTGGGGCAGAAGCTCTAGACCTGAGCAAGCTGCACCAGTGCCTGCCCTCACCATGTTGGGTCCCGTCCAGTACAGAAAGAAGCCATTGGAGTCCACACGCAGGGTCACCAGGTTCCGACTGGAGGCCTCCTGGGGTCGAGACGGGTGGCAAGAGTCAGGGAGTGAGGACTGCAGCCCAGGTGTGGCCATCCACCCCAGTGTTCCTGCCAGTGAGCAAAGATGAAGCCTCATCTTGCACACAGGTCCTTTGTGGCTCCCTATGGTCCTCAATGTGACATCTGGGGTCCCGATGCCCCTACCAGCCTCATCTGTCATTCTAAGACTCTGGGATGAAAAAGTCCAAGCCCCACAGCCTTTCTGTGTCCCTCAGGGCCCCCGATGACTGGCCACCCCTTAAATCTGCCTCAAAGTCCCCTACCCTGCACCCCACCAGAACCTCAGAGCCTCCTGGCTCACCTCATCTTACAGAACACAGACCGAATCCCCCCAGAAGAGGACTCACCCTGCCTCCAGGACTGGACAGTGAATTCTGTCCTCCCTCAAACAGCCCTACAGCTGGCAGACAGGCAGGGAAGGGGTACTGGCCCCATTTTCCTAGGAGGGCCTGGTCCCTGGCAGAGGGGAGGTGGTCATCAGGGGCTTAGGCTCAGACAGGGCCTGCATGGCAAAGTGGCTGAAGGTAGAACTCTGCCCAAGGCTCCTCGGGCCAGGAGAGGGGCCTCACCTTGGTGCCACTCCCAACACCGCTGCTCACTGGTGGAGAATCCAATCATCAGTGCAAGAGCACACCCTCACAGTGGCCCCACTGCACGCCAGCTGGGGTCCTGGACGCTTACTACCTAGAGGCTCACTTCATTCTCCTAACAACCTGATGATGTCTGTGCCATTGTTCTTCCTGTTTAACAGATGAGAAGACTGAGGCACAGGGAGACTCTGTAACTTGCCTAGGGTCACGAAGAGGCATCAAAATTTGCCTGCAGGCAGTATTGCTCCAGAGTCCTGTGACCTGGGATGCAGGGAACCAGGTCCCTGCCAAGGTCCCAGGTCCTGGTCTCAGCTGCAACCCACTGTGGGGCCTGGGATTAGGCTCCACCTTCCAGACTCAGTTTCTTCTTGTGGAGAATGGGGATTGCACCAGCCCCGCCCATCTCAGGCTTTGCTGACAAAGGCAGGAGGTTGATCTGGGGGCAGAGGGGACAGGAGGCTCTGGAACTCTGGGGATGCTTGGGCGTCCCACCTTAGGGCTGACACTCATCCTCAGGCCTTTTCTGGGATACCCAATCCTGCCCCGCCAACAGTGTGAGAGGGGAGTTTGTGTGTACTGTCCCCAGAGCCTCCACCTGCCCCTCCCCAGGGGTCTGGCCTACAAAGTCAGCCCAGGCCCCCTGCTCTCCAGCCCCAAGTCCAAGTCAGCAACCCCTACCCCACCCCCAGGGCCCTCTCCCTGTTCCCACTTCCTTATTTGGGTTTATCACACTGGAAGGAAAAGAAACTTTTCCCTTCAAGCTGGCCTAGGGGGAGGGGTCTCCCCTGGTCCCTGGGGCTCCCAGGAACCCCCCTCTAAGGCCCACCTGCTGCATCAGGCCACGCCCCCAGCCCCTCCCTCCCACTCCTACCTGCCCCACCCAGCCGGAAAGGAGCCCAGAGCCTTCCAGGTCTCTGGCCTGACTGGGTAGGAGCAGCAAAGAAACAGGCCCAGGAGAGGCCCTGGGGAAGGAGGCCCAGGGGGTAGAGGACAGGGCAGTGTGAAAACGAGGGTGCGGCGCAGGAAATGGCTGGGGAGCCCCAGACTGGGGGTTGGGGCACCTGGGAAGCACCAGGGGCAGGGCAGGTAGAAAGGGGGGACAGGACTTATTGGGGTTCAAAGTCCCGGTGCTAAGGAGTGGAGAGCAAAGTTCCCCAGGAGAGAGGAACTTGGGGGGGCCAAGTCTCCACTAGGGGGTGACTTGGTGCTCCCACCAGAGCAGGGAGCTGAGCTAAAATACAGAAGCGGGGCAAAGGGGTGTCAGCCAGAATACGGTGCGAGAGAGATGAATGGAGAAGACTGTTCAGGCTTGGAAGAGTACGGTCCCAGCGGTACCCACTCAGAATGGGGGTGCACTGAGCCAGACTGGGGGCCAAGGTCCTCGAACCAGAGAGTCCGGTACCAGACAGGGGTCTGAGGACCAGCCCCAGGTTAGGGGAACCAGAATTAGATATGCAGGGAAGGTTGGGGAAGGCGAGTAAAAAGCTGGGGTGTAGGGGAAGGCTGGATTTATTGCGGTTCGAAGTCTCCGGGGCCAAGGAGCAGAAAGACAAATTTTCCGCAGCTGAAAGACGGTAAGGGGGGATGGAGCGGGGTGGGGGTGGGATACGCGGAAAAGTCTTCATAAGGGGACTACTGGGGACTCAAGTTCCGGAACGCAGCCAGGCTGAAATGAGGGGACGCCGTGGCCAGGCCATGCTGGCGGGGGTCCCGGCGTCTGGCCGAGCTGGAGTGAGGGAGTCCCCGGATCTGGGTGGATCGGGCCCCCACGCTTACCTCGTCCCATTTGATGAACTTACTCCCGCGCCGTAGGGTCTCTACCACAGTGGGCGGCTCCAGCTGCAGCGTGTGGACGCCGGGCCTGGCGCCTGCCATGGCCGGGCTGGGGGCGGGTCGGGGACCCAGGGAGCCCCGACGGGGACCGACGGCGCCGCTGCTCCCTCCGCGCGCTCCCGCGAGGCCCGCTCCAACCCCGCGGCGTCAGCGCCCGCCGGCCAGCCAGTCTGTCCCGGACGGGCCAGAGAATCGGCGGGGCCCGGGCGGGGCGGGGCGGGGGCGGAGCCACAGCGGCACCGCCCCCTCCCACCCACGTCGGGACCGCCCGCCCCTCTTGGCAGCTCCCCCTGGCGGCAGGGGCGGCGACTGCAGCCAGAGGGGGGATGGGGCAGAGGCCATCCTGGATCGGGACGCCTCGCTGGGGGGGCTCAGCTGGACTGGCCCTGGGTGGGGTAAGGGCGCTTGGCGACAGGGGTCTGTTGACAGTGCAGCTGTAGGGACTGGATGTAGAGGGCGCTACTGAAGTCCGGCCGGGGTCAGCCTACTAAAGTTCCTGAGGAGCCAGGAAGGGGTTTTCTACTGGAGGGCCAGACTTGGGCCTGGGGTTGCAGAGTCTGACTTCCCACCCAGCTCCTGCGACGTTTAGCCGAGGGCTAGTAAAGCCACAGCCACACCCCTTCTGCTCTCCCTTCGCTTCATCCCCCGCTGCAGCTACACGAGGTCCCCCTCCCTGGGAGCACTTAGCCAGCTAATGGCCTCCCGCCGGGAGGCACCCCTCCCCCGTCTCTAGCCCTGGGGAGGCCAGGCGCCTGCAGCGTATTTTGAGGACCCAGACATCCTGGTCTTCCAGATTGAGCCCTGAAACAGCACCTTCTAGTTACACAAACCCTGGTGACCCAATCTGGAGCCTGTCCCTGTGGAGCTCCTGACTGAAAATGGGGAAGGGTACAGCTGATTGTTTGCCCAGAGGGGTCAGAAGCCTGGTGGGTGACCCCGAACAAGGGGGGTTGAGGAGGGGCTCTGCAATGCCTGGCCCACAGCAGGTGCCCTGAAATCTGCGTTCCAGCAGATGGGAGGGGGAAGGCACATGGGCACTGGATGGTGGGGGGGCGCTGCAGCCCCTCCCGCAGGGCTTGGCTGGGGGGGCTCCTGCCTGGGGGCCCCTGTGGGAGCCCCCCCAATACAGAGGCAGTAGCAAAAGCAGGTTTAAAGTAGAACTCATCCAGAGGGGCCAGCCAAGTCACCTAGAAACCCAGAAAGAGATGAAGCTGGTTCTGGGGGAGGAGGGGTCAGTCAAGGAAGAGCAGGCCCTGCAGGCCCCTCTGCCTCAGGCTCTCAAACCCTCAGGCAGAGCCTGCCTGCCAATGGCCCTCCTCAAAATCCCAACCATGTTGTATGTGCCAACTCCAACCTAACAAATCTACTAGCCTTTAGCTGAGGCACTGTGGGGTGTGACTATTATCTTCACTTGAGGCCCAGAGGCTGGAAAGGACTTGCCCAAGGTCACACAGCATTGTAGGAGGATGTCAGCTTTCTGACTTAAAGGCCTGCTGGTCCTGCCTCCTCTGCTTGCCCTTGAGGAGACAAAGAAAGAGGAGTGGGGGGCAGGATTTATGATCCTTGTCCTCTCTCACCAGAGCAGCAGAGCCATACCCCTCAGACATCCAGGGACCCCCAGGTCTCACTGGAGGATGTGCAGTGAAGAGGTTGGCTTCTGCTCCCACGGGCCTGGGTACTGGCAGAACCTAGTCCCTTTCTGGCAGAAGAACCTAGTCCCTTTGTGCTTCTGTCACCTTGTCCAGAAGCTGGAGGTAGTCAGAGGATGAAATAAGCAGATGGGTATGAGATGACCCCTGACTACAGTCAGCTGGACAACTAAGGAGGGGGAGCCTAGCAGTGGAGGTGTAACAAGCTGTGGGGGCATCAGGAGGGAAGGAGGAAAGGGCAAGGATCAGCTCTGGGGAGAGGGGTCTGCCAGCCAGTGCCAGGCTAGCAAGGCCTGGAGCCAGGGCCTAAGCTTAGGGATCTGGACGGAGGTACTTCACAGAAGCATTCGGCAGTGGCTCCTTGGAAAACAAGACGGCAGCCTGTTGCCTGGGCCTGAGCCTCTCCTCCTCTCCTCCCACCCCATGTCTCCTGAGGCCAGTGCAGCCCCCATTAGAGGGCTCCTTCCTCCTCCACCACTTTCTTGCAGCCTTGGTAATGGAAATAGGGTTTCTCGACAAGCAGTAATGGTGGAAGGAAGGAAGGCTTTCCGGTCTCTACCTTCGATTAGGGGAGCAGTCTCGGCCCACAGGACCCTCTCCAGGGCCTCTGCTTCAAAGCAGCCTTAGTGCGCTCTGATGGGGGAGGCCAGGACCCCAGGAGGGGTGGGGCTGCGGAGGCCACAGCCTGAGGCTCGAAGGAAGAGGAGGCAGCAGCACATTCCAGTCCCAGGGGGCTTCAGGCAGGAGGGCAAGGGCTGGAAGGTGGGCCCCGAGCGCTGAACTCTCAGCCCCCAAGCACTGGAGGTCAATAGAAGAAACTTGGACAGGTAAGTGACTTGGCCATGGCCTGTCGGCCAATGGGTAGAGCCAGAATTTAAACCAAGTTCTTACTCTCAAGTTATGTGCAGGGCAGCTCAGCCTCCGAGAAGGCTGCAGACCAACATGGCCATCTGCACTAACTGTTCTCAGGGTGTATGGCCATGGGAAGGGACTATATGGGCCAGGGAGTTGGCCCCAGGAATCTGGGATTACTCTGGGGGTGGCATAGGAGGTGAAGAGAGGGAGAGTCAGAAAGAGCATCCCCAGCTCCTCCACAACCTGCCCAGAGACTCCCCAAGGGATACTCTGAAATTTGGACATAAGAGGAGGCCTTCACACAAGCCCTAAGGAGAAGAGGGACAGGAAGGTCATCATCAATCAAGGTCATAGCATGGCAGGGGGTTGGGGGGCAGAGGTGGGGCTGGTACCCAGGTCTTTATGTCCTGTAGGTCACCCTCCCACAGCAAGCTATGGTATATCCCCCACTCTTAACTAGGAGTACCCCCAAGGCCTGAATCAGTACTCTGGTTTAAAGCGCGGACTTTCCCTGGCAGGGCAAGATGGGGTGTTGTGAATTTGGACTTGAGTAAATTGCTTCCATTAGGCCAGGCCCAGAGCCAGAGGCCAGGTCAAAGATGGAGCTCCCCATAGAAAGGGTGGGTCCTACCTAATCTACAAGAGCAAGGGTCAGCCCTTCCCTGGCCTGGCCCCCAGGCTGGCTGAGAAAAGCTGAGTTCAGGAAGGGGGCCAAGGGAGGGAAGAGGCATCAGCCTATTCTACCTGCCCTGGACTGAGTCTAATGAGCCTGCCCCCACCCAGGCCCCTCAGTGAGAAGCCTACCTTGCCCCCCCTCCCCACACCCATTCCCAGCCTCTGCCTTCTCATTTTCTCTTCTCCCCAACCATAGAGTAAGCCCAAAATCCTGGGTTCAATTTGGCTGCACACCAGCTTTATGACCTGGACCAGTCTCTGAACCCTGCCTGCTGCAGAGGGCTTCTTTGCACCCAGAGAGCAGGGATCTGTGAAGAGCTGGGGCAGAAACACTTACTGCCTCTGGGACCCTGAGACTCTGCTTGGGACTGTGGAGGGTGAGCTTGCCACCCATGGAAGGATTGAGAAGCTGCACAACCTTGTCAGGAAGTATCTCAGGGGAGGTAGGGGGCTTGAGGAGAGCCTTTGTATCCAGGCCTGTCTGAGCTGCATCTCCATCTAGCTGTGTAACTTAACCTCAGTTCTGCAGTCATAGCCAAGCATTTGCCTATTTAATCTTTGCCACGACCTTCGGAGGAAATGGAGGCACAAAGAAAACCATTAATTCTTTCACTCAGTCATTTGTTCAAACCAATAGCTAAGGAGCAGTTACTGTGAGTGGGACATAGATGCTGAGAATTCAGCAAAAATCAGGTAGTTTGCTTGATATGTGGGTGTGAAGCCGAGGAGACCCACTCAGCCATGGACATGAGCAGTAAACAAGGGCGGGACAGGTCTCTGGTCCCGTGGAGCTCACAGTCGAGAAGTGGGAGACAATGAACAATCGAGTGAGAAAGATTATCTAAAGACACAGAAAATCACACGGGGTGCGGGATTGAGATGCGCGGTCTGCTTAAGACAGGTGGGCCAGGTAAGCCCCCTGTGAGACCCAAAGGACAGAAAGACCTGCAGGGCAAGAATATGCGGGAGAGCAGCGACTATGTGGAACAGACCGGAGGTACGCTTATTATGGGTCAGCTGTTATTATCTTTATTATCAGGAATACAGGCTCCCCCAATGCCCAGCTCTGCATGCCTGAGTTTTCTCCTTTGCTCACATAGAGGTTGGTGGGTGCGGGGCCGCACCCTGTCGAAGCCAGCCGAGCGAGGGCGCCCCGAACAACTTGAGCACTTCCTCCTCCCGGCTCCACTGTGGGGGAGGGGCCGAACGCTGGGAACTACATTTCCCACAATTCCGATGCCCCCGCCGCCATCTAGGCCTGTGGGCGGTGGCTGTCTAGGGTCTGGCTCTTTGGGCCCTTGGATCGGCTCTGCTCACCTCCCAATCCGGCCTACCCCTTGCAAGACGCGGGAACCCAATGAGTTGGGCGTCCAGGGACCAGGGCAGCTCCTGCCCGCCCTCCGCACTCCACCACCCCCAGGAGCTCGGTCCACGTGGAGAAGCTTGCTCGCCCCCACCTGGCCGAGGGCCGAAGATCCCAGACATTTGGGGCTCCCACGTCTCCTCCACAGACCCCCGCCCTGCACACAGTACCCACTCCCGTCCATTCCCAGAAGCCCACTGCTTCAGTGAGGACGGAACACTAGGGTCCCGGCGGGAGTGCAAATCCTGGTAGCGGGCGCTTAGAACGCTTGGGTTGGGGTCAGGAATTTTAAAAGGGAATATCGGACAGCTAGGCCCGAGCCCTTGACAACTAGACCCTCCCCTAGCTCCTTTTTGGAGGCGGGGTTGGAGTGAGGGGCCTGCCGCGGGGCTGGCTCTTTAAGGGGGTGTGGTCGGGGGGCGGGGGAAGCGAGCGAGACAGAGAAAGCGGCTTCAGCGGCGGCAGCTCGGGCGGCGGCCGCGGGGGACAAAGGGCGGGCGGATCGGAGGGGAGGGGGGGGCGGGGCGCGGCCAGGCCAGGCCTGGGGGCTCCGCATGCTGCAACTGCCCCCGGGCGCCCCCGCCGCCGCCCTCGCCGCGGAGCCGCGCGGAGCCGAGGCCACGAGTTAACCCAAGTCGTAGGACCGGAGCCAGCCGGCGGGCGTCCGGG